TGATGTACTCTGCATAGAAGTTAAATAAGCAGGGTGACAATATACAGCCTTGATGTGCTCCTTTTCCTATTTGGAACCAGTCTGTTGTTCCATGTCCAGTTCTAACTGTTGCTTCCTGACCTGCATACAGGTTTCTCAAGAGGCAGGTCAGGTGGTGTGTATTCCCATCTCTTTAAGAATTTTCCATGGTTTGTTGCGATCTACACAGTCAAAGGCTTTGGCGTAGTCAATAAAGCAGTAGTAGATGTTTTTCTGGAACTCTCTTGCTTTTTCGAAGATCCAGCGGATGTTGGCAATTTGAAATCAATTCAGGTCTCCTAATAATTATAGCATAGAGTTCAAAAACAAATTTAAATTCAAATATATAGAAGCCATTAACTATATGACTGGGCAGGTTTTACAACCTCTGTGGGCTTCACTGTGTTCATTTACAAAACAGCTCTCTTAGATACTATTTTTTTTATGCAGTGATTCATAATCCTAACTTAAGGACATTTGGTTACAAAGTCTAAAAATAGATATAAGTAGGAGAATTTAGAAACTTCACACTTAAACAGATGCAGTATTTCAAAATGCATGTTGTAATTAAAAGTCTATTTAAAAATACATTTATCACTATGTATCTATGATTAAATCTGTATCCATGTATTATTTTTAAATCCAGACACTTTATTTCATACGTGATTTTACTTACACATAAATGTTATAGCAACTAACAAGCGAAATAGTTTTTTTAAATGCTTAACTTTGATATAGATACCTCACAAAAAGACATTCCTTTTGGAAAGTGAAGTGAAAGTCATTCAGTGATGTCTGACTCTTCCAGGCCAGAATACTGGAGTGGGTAGCCTTTCCCTTCTCCAGGATATCTTCCCAATGCAGGGATCTAACACAGGTCTCCCACATTTCAGGTGGATTCTTTACCAGCTGAGCCACCCAGGGAAGCCTGAAACTCACACGTACCCAGATCTCATGATTGTCTGATGGATTACTGGAAACAGAAATGTCATGTTTGTTTCTCCCTTTTTGTTTGTTTTGGCTACTTCTTGTCCTCAGTGAGACCGGTAGTCCCAAGCTAGAAATTAGGAGTGTCACAATAAATTTTATTATGCTGCTCTAAATACAAATAACAGGAGTATGTAATGTGCATGAAAGTTGTACTGTCTGTCCTGCACCAAGACAAGCCCTTAGTCCTAAGAGCCTATGGGATGGATGTTATTATTTCTGCTTCACCGATGGGAACACGGAGGGTTTTATAGGACTTGTTCATTTTTATAGTGCTACTAAAAGGCCTGTGGTGTGGTATAAGAGAGGGCAGTAACAGTGAGAACATCACACTTATCATCATCTCTTTTCTGCTAAAATGCTGGTCCATCCAGATAAGTTATCAATCCCACCCTAACGGAGCAGGTTAGATTGTGTTTTCTTCTCTGGAGTAATTTGGAGAAAGTCTCACAAGGGAACCAAATCATTAAATATTGTTTTCATCATTATAGATCTGTTCATTTTTGTCTCCAATGAAATGTCTCATTTCCTATCCCTCTTTTAGTACCACATTTCTTCATCTTAAGAGTTTGTTACCTGAGATTTAATACATTGCTTTCCTGAGGAAAGCAATTAATCTTTTAAACTTAATTTCAAAATATTGTTTGAGAGTCTCCTATATGCACAGTGAGGAATGGCCAAAAAAAAAAAAAAATCCTTCTGCATTAACCATGCATTTCCCATTTCCATGCTGTTGACTTGTACAGTTTCCTACTAATGTCATTAAATTGGGAACACCAAATTAGAAATCATCGGAAGTTTCTCTTCTTGGGGGTATTGTGCTCATCTGTTTTCCAAAATCTGTTTTCATTCTCTGGTTTCCCAAACCGTTTTAGAAAAATTTTCTAACCATGGTCCCTGCATTTCAAAAGACTAACTGGTATTCCGTGGCATGTGAGTGAACGCCTCATCTTTTTTTTTTTTTTTAATTGCCCTGTGACTGGGCAGATTTAACATGTATTCTTAGCCGTTGGGCTCAACGTTTATAGAATTATCGGCCTGTTCCCTAACATGAGCCAAGTGTTTATGACTGTAATTCCCATCCTTCCCCTAACATATGGCAGGCTTTGGCATGATCCCAGTCCCTATAGTATTCTTCCTTTACTGCATAAACATCTCTTGGTTGGATGAAAAGTGACTTCAGTTATTCCTCAGTGGATAATGAGGTTCAACTGAAGCATCTTCCTCAAGTGAAATTGGGATGCTGGAGTTTGTTCTAATTCCTTTCCAAAGATGTGTGAGTCTCTGGTGAGAAACCACGGGTATGGATAAGCTTCTGTACAGAACCTTCTTGCATGATGGAAGGCTTTCCCCGCTCCCTCTGTAGCTATAGCCATTCAACCAGTGATACAACTGCCCCTCAGATGGACTGCAGGATCAGACAAATGAACTATTGACAGGATAGCTGTCATAGTCCAGGGCCTTGTAGATCCCTCACTTGACATGTCCCCAGCCGAGCTATTGCAGCATCAGTCTAGGAGACATTTCTGTGTCTCCTCTCTGTTGGTGAGGGGCACTCAGATTATGTGCCTAAGCAGCAGATCAGGTAGAAAGAAGCAGGCTAAACTCGATTCTGCTTTCCACCTTTAACTCTGGAAGAACTGCAGACTTTAGCATGTTCTTGAACGATAATTCTAAATTTAAAAAGAAGAAGTAATTCCTCATTGAGAATGCTTCAGTTCTTCTATGTCCTTTCAGAGGAGAGGCTTAGCTCATCCTTTCTACCTGAGAACGTGCAATTTCATTATCCTGTTCCCCTTCACACAAGAAATTTTTTGGCAGAACATGTGGTTGGCTTCTACTGGTGATGATAATAGCAGCATTTTCTCCTGAGACTACTTGCTTCTCTCAGTATGTGTTACAGACGGCTGGAAAGCCTGACAGTTGTGGCCCAATTACAGCTTATTTACAAATTTACAGAAACTGACCTTTAGTTTTATATCAGATGACTTTCAGCATGAGAGTCTGAATCCTGGCCGTAACGGCACTTTTATATAGTACCAGCCTTTAAAGATAACGTTTACCTCAGCGTTTCCAAACCAAGAATTCTATTATAAGCATGCCATCAATTCACAGGGCCTAGTGGCGACAAGGTATATAAATACTGACTGTATTTTGAACCCCAGTTATTACATTGACTGCAGTTTAAGCTTTAGATGGGTTGGATTAGATGCCCTTTAAGATTTGTTTCAGTATTAAAAGTCTTATGCCTTGTGGTTTTTGTATTACTGCCAAAAGGAAAATGCAGCCAATTTAATATACTCTGAGGCCAGTGGAAGTAAAAGCAAGATGGAGCTATTTTAGTCTCTATGAGTCTGTTCTTGGGAATAATTACTTTGTGGAAGAAATACTGTGTGATTGATGTTTTATTTCTTAACAACCTAACCTGACTCATCTTAGTTTCACAGATAATCCTTTAAAGTTTGTTTCCTTGGTATTAGATTCTTTTCTAAAGATAAATAAACTTTGCATTTTCTTTCTTTCTTTTTTTTTAAGGTACTGTCCAAGAAGCTGGAACATTGTTAGCCAGCAAGAATGTTCGTGTCAACTGCTTGGATGAGGTAAAATTTAAAATGTTTAATAAGATGTTTTACTTCCTATGAGAATAGATAATGTATAAAATCTAATAGTAAGAGTTGTTTTCTAGCATTTGTCCTCAAGTTATATTAAGCTCTAAAGCAAATATTAGCAAGACAGGTTGCAAAAGACAAATAGCATGTAAAAAATGTTTAATTTTACTGGTAATCAAATAAGTGACAATTAAACCAATACTATATCGTTCTTATGAAGTATGGGAAACACTGGACTTAATATATATGCTAATGGATTAGGTATAAATTGACATCACATTCTGGAAAAAATTTTTAGAATATTTCTCGTTTTTAAACATGCATACCTTCAATCCAGCAATTCTCCTTCTAGGGAAGGTTAACTGAACCTAAACTCAACATTATACAACAGTTGTATCCAAAATAAGTTTCTGAGATGATGGTAATGTCTCTTCCAATCTGTCCAGAATGGCAACCATTAGCCATATGTGGCTAGTAGCTACACTATTATGCAGGACAGTTCTAGTACTATAGACAGTTAACTGAATTTCTGTTTCTCATGCAGAAAAGCAAGTGTTTTGTTAACCCTTTACCCACACATGAATAGCAAAATTAATATCAGACAAAATAAAGCTAAAGCAAAAAACAAAAAAAATGAAGACTCTTTGTTATATGTCATTAATAATCCTTCAAGAACACGACAGCATTAAGCCTTCACTAATAAGCTTTGAGGTTCATAATGAAAAAGAGGAAATCAAAGGAAAAATTTGTAAGACCACAAAAACATCTTCTGGTTAAGTAGAAGTATACAAGGGTCGGAAAATTGGATAACCTAACAGTCTCTGCACTGTGTATAAGACAGAAATAGTACATCTCCATTTTATGTGGAACACTGATAAAAATTTGCCTGTGAATGATACTAGTTTGTACAGGAAAATTTTAGCTAATTTTGAACAAGGTTACCAAATGTAATATAACACTGAAAATAAAAATTTGATCCAAATAATAAAACATATAACCCAAATGCTTGTTAAAATTCTGAATAATTCTTGGTTAATGGAAGAAATAGAAGTAGAAATTACCTGCTATTTGTAACTGAAAGCACAATATTTATCAAAAGCTACTGTTGATCAAAAACTGGTGTCATGTGGCAAAAATCATATTCAGAGGAAGTTTTGTAGCATGTAATTATTGTACTTTAAATCTTTGTGGTGTTCTGAGCTTTCAACTCATGAAGTTAGATGAAAAATAGTATACTCAGAAAATATAGGAAATGAATTAAGAAAAACAGAAATAAAAAATTTTAAAAGTCACTAAACATAAGCAACAAAAGAAAAAACAAAAATGAAAACCTTTGTACTTCACACCATCCAAAAAAGTAAACCCACAGAATGGTTTTACAGATCCTATCTGGTAAGGGATTTGTAACTGAAATGTGTTAAGAACCCCTACAACTCAATAATAAAAATTACAAATCACCCTATTTAAAAATGGGCAAAGGATCTGAATAGACATTGCTCCAAGAAAACATACAAATGGCCAATATGCCCATGAAAAAAGGCTCAAAATTAGCTGCCAGGGGAATGCAAATCAAAACCACAGTGAGAGGCTACTTTATACCCACTAGGATGGTGAAAATAAAAGAGATGATAACAAGTATTGGTGAGAATGTGGAGAAACTGGAACCCTCATGCTTTGCTGGTGGGAATGTAAAATGGTGCAGCTGCTCTTTAAAAATGGGTTGACAGTTCCTAAAATGATTAAACATAAGAGTTACCATATGACACAGCAATCCAGGTATATAACTAAGAAAAATAAAACATATGGCAATACAAAAATTTTGAATATGAATGTTTATAACAGCATTATTCATAACAGCCAAAGTGCCAAAGGTGGAAACAGTTCAAAACATCCATCAACTGATAAGTGGATAAACACAGTGTAGCCTATCTATGCAAGGGAGTATTACTCAGTTATAAAAAGGAAAGACATCTTGATGCATGCTACAACATGGTGAATGTCAGGTAAAATTCTGCCAAGTAAAATAACCTAATCAAACAAGATTAAATATTATACGATTCATTTATAGGAGAATTCAGAAATGAGCAAGTCCAGGATACAGAAAGCAGATTCTTGGTTGACTAGGGCTGGGTGATGGGATTGGGTGGGGGCCAATGGGAATGACGTCAGTGGGCATGGTGTTTCTTTTGGGTGTGACAAAAGTGTTCTAAAATTGATTGTGGTGATAGTTGAACAACTCTGAAAATACTAAAACTTATTTAACTGTAACATTAAATGGGTAAATCATATCACAATGAAACTATTAACAAAGAAAAGATAAAACAAAGTTATCAATTTAAGACCCCCAGCGCCCCCAACAAAAAATAGACAATTCTAAAAGTAGAAGCAAGAAAATTACATGTATGAACACCAAGGAAGAAAGTGAGAGCATAATCTGCAGTGAGAAAAAAAAAATTGTCATAAATTTTTTAAGCTAATTCATTTGAAAACCTATATGAAAGTAGTGATTTTGCAGAAACATTAAAATGAATGTATTCATCTCATATAGAATTATAAAAATGGAAAATAAGAGATTTGTGTAAATGTATTTAACTGTCAACTACCTTTTAAAGCTACAGACCTAAGTAAGTTTTACAAAATGTTCAAGGACCATTTAATTCTCATTTTACACAGATTGTACCATTTTTATTTAATTTATAAAAATATGGGCAGATGCCCAACTCATTTGATAAAATAATCCTAATGCTGATTCCAAAATAGGAAGAAGCCCAAGAGAACTGTGGGCTCAGTGCACTTTGTAAATAAGGATTCAGAAACACTATATAAAATACTAGCAACTTTATACAGTGGTGTATCAAAAGAATAATAAGACTTAACAAAGTAAGGTTTCTCCAAGAATGACAGGATGATTCAGTTTAGAAAATCTTATGTAAATCACTATTTTACAAAGTAAAAGAGAAGTGATCTATAGATCATCTCAATAGATATTATAATGTATTTGATAAAATTTAGCTACTGAGGGTAAAAACTCTTTAACAGATTAGGGTAGAATGGCTCTTCTGTGTCTTAATAAAAGAATGAGTTTCTGGAAACCCTCCACAAGCGCTGGCATCCTATTGAATGTTTAAAACATTAGACACACTCCTATGCTATACCATCCTATATGTGTTTAAACCTGGAGAAGGAAATGGCAACCCACTCCAGTATTCTTGTCTGAAGAGCTCCATGGACAGAAGAGCCTGGCGGGCTACCATCCCTGGGGGTCACAAAGAGTCGGACCCGACTGAGTGACTAACGCACACTAGGAGCATTGGGATCAAGACAAAGAGGGCCTGGACGTTCTGTGAGCGAGCTGCACGCAGATTTGGCCTCCTAGGTATTCCTTGAACACAGAACACCAAAGAGTTTTACTCTTGCAGTCTCTTTACTGGAGCATTCTTCTCTGTTTAGTTGCTGAGTTGTGTCCGGCTGTTTGCAACCCCATGGACTGTAGTGCACCAGGCTTCTCCATCCATGGGATTTCCCAGCAAGAATACTGGAGCGTGTTGCCATTTCCTTCTCCAGGGGATCTTCCTGACCCAGGGATCAAACCTGCATCTCCTGCTCTGGCAGGAGGATTCTTTACTGCTGAACCACTGGGGGAGCCCATTCTTCTAGTTACTCAATATTTACATCCTTCCTCCAGGGCTTTGTTCAAAATGCCACCTTGTCAGAGGGATATTCTTTGACTGTCCTTTTAAAAATAATAACCTCCCCTAACCTTCTGGCATTCCCTCTCCTGCTTACGCAGTGTTGTCTCCCTATAGCACTTATTAGCATCATCTGCCTTGTTACCCCTACTAAAATTTAAGTGCCCAGGACTTAGACTTCAGGGGCATGGCTTTGTTCATTGATACCCACAGTGCATAGGTTTGTCTGACATAGCTTAGGCACTCGGTAAGTATTTACTGAATGAATGCTTTTTTTTAATGATAATAGAATTATAACTTAGTAGCCTAATATTGATGAATTCTTTAAGAGTTATGGGAGAGAAACTTTAATTATTTTTAATGTCATCATATCTAAAGTTTTTAAAACTACTCCCTTATCATTTTCCCATTACTGCTGTCAGGAAACTTTGACTGCTTCTACTAAGTTGCCTCTTGTACAACCTCCCAATAATTCTCACGTCAACATACCTCTGATAATATGGAGGACTATGTTCATAAAAATAGTCTAGAATCATTAAAAACAATTCAATTATGTTAGTATTCTAAAATTTGCCAAAAACGTGTTTATATATTTTAGACAGGTTTTCACCCCAAACAACTGAAATTCCAGCACTTAGAGAGTCTCTTTTCTGGGTTCTGAGAAAATTTACTTATAGGAAAAAGCTCATTTATTCATCCACCAAATGGTTTTAGATACTTAACATATAAAGTTGTATGTTCATTGGATATGGACAAAACATGTGGAGACTAAACACTGTGGCCTGGTGTAAATACATTTGATCATTTCCCCATATAATCATATATATGACCAAATCATATTTATGATTAAAATATAAATGTGATTTTGAGGATCATTGTTTTAATATACACTTCTTGCATCTTGTTTTTCTCATTGGCAGTAGTTAATTCGTGAAAATTTCTTCAATTCAGTAGGTACAGATGAATTCAATCAGTACATAATAATATTCCATGCTATGGATATACCATATTCAACTTTCCCCTTGATAAGCATTCTATTTATTTTAAGGTTTTTCCTTACTTTTTTCTTTTCTTTTGTAGTGCATTTATATCTGCTTGTTCCATTTGTTTCTCCAAGAGCTACCTGTAGGAGAGATGAGAGCTCTGATAAATTTAGTCTGAGTCTTGCCCTGGCCATTTTATTAGTTAAGTGAGGTTGAGCAGTTCTTCTCTGAATCTGTTTGCTAATCTGTTGAAAAGCTGAGGTAATGAAACTATCTTTTTCCCTTAGCAGTTTATAGAAGATCCAAGTGGGAAGTGAGTATAAAAATGTAGATTAAAAAGATGATTTTATTTTCATTTTATTTTGTGTTCTAACTTAATTGCATGAATTGTTCATAGGTGGGGGAAAGGTAAATAAGTAAAATTAATATTTTTTTCCCTTTCTGTTAAAGAATGGAATGACTCCTCTAATGCATGCTGCATATAAAGGAAAACTTGATATGTGCAAATTACTTTTACGGCATGGAGCTGATGTCAATTGTCATCAGCATGAACATGGATACACAGCCCTCATGTTTGCTGCGCTTTCTGGTGAAGTTTTAGCATTTATTCTAATGCATTAATAATAGTCACCTATACACATTTGTTAGAAGTATATGTATATTTTTTAATTAAGTGCATTTTGGTTGTAGTAATTTTAAGATCATGTCTTACGGAAAGACATGATGCGAATTGGTTTTGGAAAGGTACAATGTATGAAATATGTTATATAGTTAATTTGGTGATGTTTCTTTAGTTATTTAAATCACCTGATTCTGTTGATGGTATGCTTTGTTTAGAGTCATGAAGCTTGATCTGTTATTCTTACACGTTAGTTCGTTTGATGTTCTATAGTTCTATATTTTGGAGTAATACTGAAGCTTCTTTGTTGTTCTCTTAACAAAATAGCTGCTATGATAGAGCAATTTGCTTCACTGACATTTCTGTATGAAATAGGATGATCTGTTTAGAAACTTACTCTGATTCATGTTTCTTATAATTTGTTGAATGAAGACAATTTGGGAAGTATCTAAAATTAAGTGGAATTATCTGTACTTGTAGTTTTTAAGAAACTATGTAATATAATATTATCATGCTTTGAAAGCAGTAATCTGTAGTTTATTTTAATCTTGGAACTGGAAGGCGTTTCTAAACATAACATAAAATACAGACTTCAAAAAGGGCAACAGTGCCTAATTTGATTACATAAAATCTTAATATTTCCATATGTAGAAAATACCCAACATAGAGTTAAAATATAAATTAAACAATATGGAAAATAGTTATTACGTGTCTTACAGGGTGTTCACTTCAGTTCAGTCATTCAGTTGTGTCCGACTCTTTGTGACCCCATGGACTGCAGCACGCTAGGCCTCCCTGTCCATCACCAACTCCCAGAGCTTACTCAAACTCACATCCATAGAGTCGATGATGCCATCTAACCATCTCATCCTCTGTCGTCCCCTTCTCCTCCTGCCCTCAATCTTTCCTAGCATCAGGGTCTTTTCCAGTGAGTCAGTTCTTCGCATCAGGTGGCCAATATATTGGAGTTTCAGCTTCAACATCAGTCCTTCCAATGAATATTCAGGACTGATTTCCTTTAGGATGGACTGGTTGGATCTCCTTGTAGTCCAAGGGACTCTGAATAGTCTTCTCCAATACCACAATTCAAGAGCATCAGTTCTTCAGTGTTCAGCTTTCTTCACAGTCCAACTCTCACATCCATACATGACCACTGGAAAACCCATAGCTTTGACTAGACGGACTTCTGTTGGCAAAGTAATGTCTCTGCTTTTTAACATGCTGTCTAGGTTGGTCATAGCTTTTCTTCCGAGGAGCAAGCATCTTTTAATTTTATGGCTGCCGTTACCATCTGCAGTGATTTTGGAGCCCAAAAGATAAAGTCTCTCACTATTTCTATTGTTTCCCCATTTATTTGCTGTGAACTGGGGAACAGATGCCATGATCTTCGTTTTCTGAATGTTGAGTTTTAAGTCAACTTTTTCACTCTCCTCTTTCACTTTCATCAAGAGGCTCTTTAGTTCTTCTTTGCTTTCTGCCATAAGGGTGGCATCATCTGCTATATTGATATTTCTCCCGGCAATCTTGATTCCAGTTTGTGCTTCATCCAGCCCAACATTTCTAGTGATGTACTCTACATAAAAGTTAAATAAGCAGGGTGACAATATACAGCCTTGACATACTCCTTTCCGGATTTGGAACCAGTCTGTTGTTCCATGTCCAGTTCCAACTGTTGCTTCTTGACCTGCATACAGATTTCTCAGGAGGCAGGTCAGATGGTCTGGTTTTTCCATCTCTTTAAGAATTTTCCACAGTTTGTTGTGATCCACACAGTCAAAGGCTTTGGCATAGTGAATAAAGCAATAGATGTTTTTCTGGAATTCTCTTGCTTTTTCGATGATCCAGTGGATGTTGGCAATTTGATCTCTGGTTCCTCTGCCTTTTCTAAATCCAGCTTGAACATCTTAAAGGGTGATATCATTATATATATAAGGTTCTTATAAATCAATTGGAAAACAACAAATACTACAGTAGACAATTAGACAGAAAATTGAACAGGAACAAAAGAAATACAACTGACTAAAAAACTCAAAACCGCTCTCACAAACAATCAGAGAACTTCAGATTAGGACAACAAATGATAGTTTTTCACCTACAGTATTGGCAGAGGCTAAGGAGGAGTGATGAAGCCCAGCATTCGCGTGGGAACTTTTGTGTACTCTTTTGGGGAGTGCACATGAGCCTAACCTTGCTGGGAGGCTGCCTGGTAAAATGCATTTAAAATATACATAACCTTTGATCCTACAATGTTTTCCAGGAACTGTTCCTAAGGAAATCATAATTCAAATTTGCAAAAAGTAGTGGAAAATGCTATTCACTGAATATAGTTTATAATAGCACATTTGCTATTATAATCTGTAATGAGTCCTATAGTCAAAGAATGCAAATAAAATAACTGAACGTTTAAACAGGACAAAGCCTGGAAAGATAGGTCCTCGGCCGTCCGAAGTTATCTCAGGGCGTCTAGGAGTAAGGGAGGGGATGAGTTAGTAGACATTAGTGAGGACTTTGATTCATTTTCTTTTTTCTGTCTTTGTTTTTTTTTGTTTTGTTTTGACTTTATCCTAAGCAAGGAAAAACATACTTTGTCTTGTTTTTTAAAAAAAGTGATATTCAATTCTGTGCCATTTTTGTACTACTTCATGTTTTCTATTCTTTTCTAGACAAAAGGTTGATTTCTCTGTGGGTTCTGTCACATTGTATTTTTTACTGTAGTTATGATAAATATTTGGGGAAAAATGAAAATACCCACTAGATAGAAACCTGAAACTAAGTGGGGAAAAACACTATGGATTATTTAAAAGGCAGTATTTGAATGAGCATTCCTTATTTTTAACAAATATTTCTTTTCAACTCTAGGTAATAAAGACATCACGTGGGTAATGCTGGAAGCTGGTGCCGAAACAGATGTTGTCAACTCTGTCGGAAGAACAGCAGCTCAGATGGCAGCCTTTGTGGGTGAGTTTTTAGGGCGGTTTTACATTAGGTTATACCCCAAATTTCCCCCGTGGAAAAAAATGCCCCTTTGCTTCTCAGAGCATAAATACTGCTATGCTTCCTTTTTAAAAAGCAAACATTTACAGTTTTGTCTAACTTAATGAAACACCGAATGACATTTTGGAGAACATGAACAAGCTTTTTCAAATTTCCACTCTGAGATAGTGTGGTGAGGCCTTTTTGTTGCAGTCAAATGCTTGAATGAGAACAGTTTACTCCTCTAAGGAAGTAGTTAAACCTAATATTTAAGAATAAGAACTGTGGAGTCAACGATCTGGGTTGAAATTCTGTTTGTACACCTGATAGGAAGTTACTTAATGATTCTGATCTTCAATATAATGGTTACATGATTATTAAAAGGATTAAATGAAATGATAGACCTAAAGAGCTTTAACTGTAGCTCTCAATGAAGGCCATCAGTTATTCCTATTTATAATAATTATAACAATGATTAGGAATGAGTATTAATGATAATACAATATACAGCTGTTTCAGTATCATCCTCAGCAACCATAAACATTTATTGTGTGTGTCCAGTATTTCTTGGTATGTTAATCCTGTTACTTGATATAGGGGGTTTAGAAGAGAGTGGGAATGAATATTTGATGCTAGGTATTTTGGCCCCACTGAGTTGGCAGTTAGCAGAGTCCACTGATAGAAAAGCAAAAATAGAAACATCTGATTTATTGGGAATACAGTAAATAGCTTTGTGAGACCTAATGATTCATGAAACAGATACTTAACATTCACAACCTATAGATCAAGCATCACTCTAGATGCTTTGGTGAATAAAACAGGATGTTTGTGTATTCATGGCACTAGGTGGCTAATAGGAATGACTGTGTGAAAATATACTCCAGTGGATGACTTAAGGGTTCCATAGAAATACATCAAAGGAAGGGATCTCTCCCATTCCAAGGGAATTTCAAGAGAGAAATTACTTTTAAGCTGAGATATAGGGGGAATTAATCAGATATAGGGGACAGTTATCAGATATATGGTATTAAAATTTATTATTACTTAAAGCTACTCAGAGTAGGTACAGTTGATTAAGTCAAACAGTCACAGAGTCACTTTTTTACAGCTCTATGAAAGCAAATATTCTTGTTTTATTTTAACTCAGTTTCAGGAAGATTTGAGAAAGGGATGACCTTGCTGGGCAAATTGCAGAGAAATATTTGTCTCCCATAGTTAAGGGCTCCCTGGTTGCCACCACCTCACCTCTCAGCTAATTTTGAGGGTGTCAGTGTAGTAAGAAAAGAACATTAAACTAGGAATCATGAGACTCATATTTTAGTTCATATCTGCTCCTAATTATTTCCAAGATCATAGGCAAATCCCTTCACTGCCACATCTTCAGTTTTCTGATATGTACAATGACGCCAGGGAATTAGATGAAATTCTATTTAACTCTGCAAGTTTTCATTATGTCCACAATGTAATGAATTAGAGCTCAGTTAGAGGTTAAGTATCTTTCCCCAGATACTGAAAATAGTAGAGGAGTTTGTGTTTCAACCATTAATAGAATAGTTTTCTCTCTCTTTTTTTTTTTCTTTTAATACTGCCGTGTGAATAAAAATCTAAGGTAAAATGTCTGCATTTCCATCTTAGAATGAGGGTAATATTTTCATTCCATTTTAATCTGTTTAGACTAATTTCATAGAAAATTATATTGCAACCTTTCAAGTTGACATTATATTTTCCTTATAGTTAGTATTATTAAAAACTCATTCTCCCACTTTTACGTCCCTCAATCAGGTCGATACATATACATTTGTACTCATATGTGCAATATTTTTTTCATCTTTTAAAAATATGGTCATACAAATATATTCTTGCAGCTTTCTTCACTTTCCAGTACACCATGGAAGTCCCTTAGGTGATGGTTTGTGTGTTTTCATGTATTTCCTTAATGTCATTGGCTTATCCTTGTTAGAGTACACTTCCTTTGTGTTTTTATTAACTTAAAAAATCAAGAATGCTTTTCTGTTCTAGTAGTATGTACTCTCCTATTCACAACGTTCCCAGTTAAACCTGTATTTCTTAGTTAAACTATACCCTGTGTCCCACCCTTAAGGTGTTGTATTTGCCCATTTAGCAACCCCAACAGGATGAAATCATTAAAACTCAATTTATTTCTCCACATTCTCTGTGTTTGCCTTGTCAGGCATCAGGGCTTTCCTTTCCTCCTCCACCACTGCCACTAGCTGTGGCCTTGGCTGAGACAGTCTAGAATTTTTAGTGCCAGTATATTATTAGAGTGTCATCCACGGTGTGTTCTTTCTCCTTTAGCAGTCCCCACCATCTAGTGTATAATTTCTCTGTCGTGCTGTCTCCACCCATTGGGATTAACTGTCTCTGCTACCAAGGGCGGCTGTTCTTTCTCCACACTCTCTTTTCTCCTTGCTCCATCTTGATCATTGTTCTCATTTAGTTTTTGATGATAGGACCTTCTCAGACGGTACATAGGTTGTACATGGTTTGAAACCCATCATAACCAAAGCTATCTTTTTTCTCTGAAATGCAAGTCGTACCTTGGCTAGTTTCATGATTCTTGTATCAGTGCTCTGTTCTCTTATATGTAGACATTACTCCACAGTTTTCTAAATCCTGGTTTTGCAAGTGAGAATGTGATTTGTCTTTGTCAGCTTTTCATTTCTTATGCTAGAAGTATGTTTCAATTTCAGTTTATCCTTGAAAGTGAAAAATTGTGCTGGATGTGTCTGATTGTATTTATGTTCTCATTAATCCTGCGTCGGACTGACTCAGTGAGCCCATTTAGTCTAGAAGACTCGAGTCCAGTGACCGTAACGATGGAATTCAAAGTGGTCCCCACCCAGCTCCCACTCCCAGCATTTATTTTCTATGTTAATAGTACTGTTTTTTTTGCATGTATTCCCAATTCATAAATTAAAAACTAATAAAGCTAAATATTTAACAATTTCAGTTATAAAAAATTAAATATACATTAAGAACTTATAAAGATAAACTTTAAATATATATGTATATCACTCTTAACAGAAATTATTGATGGATTATTTAAAATATCAGAATAACCTAAGCAATATCTAAAATGAGAAAGATAAATCTTGAAAAAAAAATAACATTTTCTTCCTTCTCCCAAAGGTGTAATTTTAAAAAACTCCCAGTCTTGTGATAATGTCATTGTTATATAGCCATTATTTTTATGCACAGATATTTCCAACTGCTAACGAGGCTTTTTCTGAGTCTACTAATTAGGGGACTGATGAGAAGACATAGTTACAAGCTAAGTCTATGTTTTTCTCTCTCTGATTCTTTTAACTTCAAATTTTCCTAGGTCTCTTTATATGTTGAGAAGCTTTTTCAGAGTATCTTTTTTTTTTTTAATCAGGAACATCTATTTTTTTATTGAAGCTGGATGTGTTTTGGAGCTTCCCTGGTGTTTTGAAAAAGCAGTGCAGTTTGTCTTCATCTTTGGTTTCTTCATATGCAGTTGTAAATTCCTGCACACTGTTACCGGCGTTAATTTTGCTGTTGTCATGTTTACATGCTGTTTGCAATATATTTGCTTGATTGCCATTTTCCTCCCTTCTTGAAAATTATGTAGGTCAAAATGATCTTTCCAAACAGAACACTTTATATTTTTAGTATTTCTTGTGACTGTTTGACTTCTCAAGGTTATATATAATGGAGATTTCTGGTTTAAAAAAAGAATAAGAAAGTGATGTTTCAGTACTTACAAATAGCATCAAACACCAAAAATGATACATGATCACTACTAAAATATGCTTTCAAATCATGATTGTGTTGTTTTATCATTTAATTATTAATTCTCCTTCCATTTCTTTTCTTTTCTTTTTTTCCCCTGAATCTCTTTTTTTTCAGCTCTCTCATCTTTCCTGTAGTGATTTCTATATCCTAATTTTTATCTCTTTTGAGATATTTTATCTACTTCGTCTTCTGCGTTACTATTTTAGTTCTCCATTGTAACCAGGATTACCTTTCTCAGTTTGTGTATTAACTTTTAAAACTGGAATTTCTCTGTGGTCCATGAGAGTCTCTTTCCATACAATGATTGATCTGCTTAAGTGTTCTTCGGTGGTTGTCTTTAAGGCTTGGTTGTGGAGTGGTGGTAGTAGATGTTATAGTACATGTTCCATGGAAGAGGCCCTCTGTTAGAGACATTGCATAGTCTTTCGAGATTGGATCCCCTTGGGTCTGCATCTCCTAGGCAGTCAGGTAAAGCTGACAGGGTCATGGAGCCGTGAAGGGCTGTGCCATCTCTCTATACCTATGGCCCAGGGTCAACAAGCCAGGAAATATTTCAGCCTCTGCTGAGACACAACTCTTGGGTTATCCTCGAACTCTTGGGCAAGCTGAGAACTTGACCAGCCTCAAAGATCCACCTGGCCCACAGTGCAGTCTCCCTGCAAGTCACCTGATGTCAGCAGGATTGAGCAGATGCTCCCTGGACCGTACACAAGTGGGCAGGGGCCACACGGGCCACCCAGAGCAGACCGCTGTCCCAGAGCCCCGGCATCTGGGTTTGCTCCGCAGGACTCTGTCACCGGTCCCTCAGCCGTCATCAGGCAGAAAGGAGGAGGAAGTCTGTCTTGCCGAGACTCCTGGAAAAGCCTGTAATTGCAGATGTGCCCTGCTTGTCCAGAGGGGCCACTTCCTTGCTCCAGCAAAGCCGTGGAGGGGGAGCCAGCCGGGAGGAAGCAGCAGGAACACACAGTCAGGCGGCCAGCTTCCCCAGGGAAGGTTTTGCTTTCCTAGAACAGTTTTTACCTCTGCTTATGGCTTCCAGAAGTGGCACAGGGATCTGTGAGGAGCCACAGTGTGGATTCCAAGCTTATAGAAGCAAAAGCTTTTTCTCTAATTCATTTCACCAAAAGGTGAGCTTTTCTCAAATCCAAGGGGAGGAGAGATTAGCTTAACAAAATGGGTAGTAATTATAATGACAATAAGAAACTTAATACAGAATAAATTTAAATTTTGTGTAAAGAAAGCCAGATGTGATTAGGGAAGAATGAACATCATTTGTGTAGGAGTGGAAGAAGAAACATTTAAATTATGCGCAGTTTTTATTAAATATTTAGGGTCAGTTTTAAGTAGAACACTGCTTTTTTATTGTTGTTATCCACATAATCTTCTTATGCATTGTAGATTCTGTGTCTTAAAAGGGGTTTATTTCTTGACTTTAAAAAGCATGCTTATAAGATGTTTCCTAAAACATTTTACCTCTCCCCTTCCTCCCCTACTCTCCTGAAAGTTAAGGACGTTGATGCGTGTTTACTTCAGAAAACAGAACAACATAATTAAAAGTTGGAAAATGTCTTATTTTGAATGATAATACGTTTCCTATTTTCCTATTAAAAGGTCAACATGATTGTGTGACTATAATCAACAATTTCTTTCCTCGAGAGAAACTGGATTATTACACTAAGCCCCAGGGACTGGATAAAGAACCGAAACTGCCCCCAAAGTTGGCAGGCCCACTGCACAAAATCATCACTACAACAAATCTTCATCCTGTCAAGGTACTGTAGTTTACTGTATTTACTTTCTATTTAAATTGTGTGTGTGTGTGTGCGCGTGCGTGCTTAGTTGTGTCTGACTCTTTGCGACCCCATGGACTGCAGCCCACCAGGCTCCTCTGTCCATTGGAACTTTCCAGGCAGGAATCCTGGAGTGGGTTGCCATTTCCTTCTCCAGGGGATCTTCTCAACCCAGGGATCGAACCCCAGGCTCCTGCATTGCAGGCAAATTCTTTACCGTCTGAGCCACCAGGGAAGCCCATTTATATATTGCTTTAGAATTTAAACTGCTCTTAGTATATGGGGTCCTGATTGTCTTGGGTTGCTTTTTGTTGATGTCAGACTTGTGATAGGCTCTCCCGTTCAGCTGATACAGTGAATTAGTGCTCTCGTTTGAAACCTACAAGAGAGTAAGGAACACAGGCCAGAGCCAGAGGAAGAGCAAGGCAGAGAGGTGGGTTCAGCCAAAACCTAGCTTCCGCTTCATCTCACAGTGAGCTCCGTTTATTATTAGCGGCTCCAGAGAGGCAACGAAGCCAGGCTTTCCTGTATCAGTATGTCATGGCTGATGTCTGTCCCCAGGGGGCAAGGACAGCCTCCCAGATGGTGCCACGTGAGGTGACTCCCTCTGGATGTAGGGAGTTCCCCGAGGAAGGAGGCAGCTCTGAGCCATAGCAGCCAAAAGTCGCAGTTGCGGGAACCTGGTATATGGGCCTGGTAATGAGGATCTGGGTGGGGGACCAACAGCATCCAGTACAATAATTACCTTCCAGGCAGTGTTTGGAAATGTAATCATGAACACATTTCTTTCATCCAAGTAGGTATCTGATGCATTTAAGTAGTACAGTTCTTCCAGTAAATAGTCAAATCACACAGATTTTCAAACTTTGTGAACCAGCTCGGAAGTTCACATAGCATACCTGGGAAACTTCAAGGGTTATCCTGAACTATTCCCACTGCTGTTTTCTTCATATTTTATATATGACCTTTTTGTTTATAAAATGACTATGTTTTAAAAAATTAGTCCAAAAGAATATAATTTTTCCCATGAGTCATCTCAGGAAACAGCACTGACCTTTTTCAGACTTCAGTGTCTGCCATATGCCTTCATTCATAATGTATAGATTTGATAGTAATTCAGAGCTATTTGGGGCTTTCTTTGGTTTGTTTTTTAATATTTATGTATTTATTGACTATGTTGGGTCTTAGTTGCAGCATGTGGGATCTAGTTCCCTGACTAGGGATTTAACCTGAGTCCCCTGCATTGGAAGTGCAGTCTTAGTCACTGGACCACCAGGAAAGTCCTGAGAACTATTTGTTGAGCAAGATGTATGTTGGGTCAAAAACTGAAGTTTTCCCTTAGTGCAAGTTGTTATTATAATGTACTGAAATGGATTTCCTTAGTATGTTACAAAAGAAAAATCTGGAATATACTGACCATCTTAGAGTAAATGGACAGCTCTCATGAAGTAACTCTTTTGAAGTCTAACACACACTTAAAGATGTAAGTTATAAATTATATGTAATATTATTACTTTATTGCTGCATCCCTTGGCATATGGTCTTTTGAAGCTTGAGGAACAAACAAGTAAATATCTTTCATGTGGCCTTTCCCCCAAGTTTTAATAATGTTCTGGACCATCAAGAGAGATGGCAAAGTAGCAGATCTTTCCCACACAACAGAGAAGTGCAATCTATTTTGTTTTTATTTTTCAAAACTCAAATGTATTACTTAACATTTTGAAAGAACCACTAGAGGCAACACTTGTGATCCTTGCTGGGCAAAAAAAAGAAATTCTGCCATGGAACAGGTGTTTGTCTTTCTAGTGGAAATTTTATAGGACTTAGAATTTAACTGTTAGAAAAATACTTAGCCTCTTCTGTTTCAATCTTCTTTCCCTCCCAGCACATGCAGGAAAGAGAGAACTCCTGGAAATGACAACATTGTCTCAGTAGTATTCTTTCTTGGAGTGGAGTGGAGTGGGCTGGGGTGGGAAAACAGGAGTTTCCCTAGGCATACAGCATTTCTCAATGTAGAACACGTGTGTGGTTTTTATAAGGCCTTCATCACTCCCTCTCCGGTCTGAGCGTGACTCAGGGGTCCCCAACATCTGGGATCTAATGCCTGATAATCTGAAGTAGAGCTGATGTAATAATAATGGAAATAAAGTACACAATAAAGGTAATGCACTTAAATCATCCTGAAACAATCTCCCCAATCCCCCTCTCCCCCATGGAAAAATTGTCTTGCGCAAAATTGGTCCCTGGTGCCAAAAAGATTGGGGACCACTGCATTACAGGATATCTTGGGTTTGATTGATTTAAAGAAGTTTTCTATATGTTTCTGATTCACTGTGTCTTATGTCTGTTTCCACCCTTTGAGATTGCAGTAATTTCAGTTATTGTGACAGTTGGGTCTGTGGAGTAATTTTTGATGTTTACACAGAACCTAGTCTCTCAGGGTTAAATATCTCAAGAATTATTGTACCTGCAGTTATCTTTAAAGGCACATATTTTGCATAAGTTAGATTAAGGGTATATTTATACAGACAAATTGTAAACTAAAATAGCCTACATTTTATTTTTTTAGAGCACTTGGTTTTATGAGAGACTACTCTATGATTATAGCACCTCCTTTCAGACCAGACCTTGCCTTTTGTAGATATAGTCTATTTGCTTGAAAACCTTTTTTTATCCACACTTTAGTTAAAAGCTGCCCATTTGCTTTGGTTATGGCCCATTTTCATTGCCTTACCCCTTTTCAAGCTGGTGTGGGTCTTCAGAGGGCATATTATAAAAAAGTAACTAATAGCCACCAGTCAGATCAAAGACCTTTAAAAATAAGCACAGTACAACACTTGATCCAACGGTGCACCTTTTGCCGCAGTGTACCTAACACAGATACATTGGTGAGGAGGTGAAGTGGCTGCTATAGCAATAAGGATGTTTGTTTTCAGCAGGGACCTAGGGAGTTGTGCTGATGCCCAGGATATAGACGTTTATAATGGAGAAAAACAGAGGCAGGAGGAAGAGTGACAATAGAGGTTAGCAGGATCTGTAAGTGATCAGGAGATAGATGTGTGCAAGTGATCCTGTTTTTTTTTATTATTAACATGATTCTTAAGCAGAATTTATTTATTCATCCTCAGTAATTATTAATAATAATGTTTCCCTTTGTAATAAATATCCCTTTATAAAGCTTCAGAGACTAAAGGAAGGAAACTAATTCAAGTATTCTTTCTTTTGTGTACAGCTTTGATAAATGCTTCCATGAGCTCATGGTTGAGCTGCGGATATCTATCATTTTTTCATTGTGTTTGGGCTTCCCTGGTGGCTCAGATGGTAAAGAATATGCTGGGTTCAATCCCTGGGTCCAGGAGATCCTCTGGAGAAGGGAATTGTAATCCACTCCAGTATTTTTGCCTGGAGAATTCCATGGACAGAGGAGCCTGGCAGGCTACAGTCCATGGGGTTTTTTGCTGAATATTATAAAGTAAATAAAGTCTAATGTCTTAAACAAAAAAATCATTAATCTGGGTTCTATTTGGGTTTTTTTTTTTAAAGAATTGTCACATGCAAGTTTAGATCCTATGCTTTGATTCATAATGTATACAAATATTGAGCAAATGGCATCAAGTGATGGCATTTGATAGGAGAAATGTGAATAATTAATGATTCTTTTCTTCTCTGCCACAAGTTAACTTTTGAATTATATAATGGTAGGGAAAGTTGTCAGCAAATTTATCAATAAGGATTCTGATTATACTTATTTCGTGAAGTCTAGTTTATTATTGAGTGCTATATTTGAAGTAAAATATTGGGCTGTGTATCAATTTAGTAGGGTCAGAAATAAGTAAAAGTCCTATTTTAATTTAACAAGAACATTTAGTTTATGTTAAATTTTCACGTAGGAGGCTTGGGCATGGATTTTTCCCTAAGTTAACAATTGCCTTACTCCTAGTCTAAAGAAAAGGATCTGATTCATGAAATCTGCCATCTGTTGTTTCCTAACGTTTCGGTTACTTGGGAAGGTATTCTACTGTGACACATAGGTTAACAAATACTGAATGACTTTCTGCTCTGAGAATATAGTTGTGCCTCTGTTTCCCACATATTTACATTACTGTTATGTCATATGGATTTGTACAGGTGTCCTATGCAATCAATAAAGAATAAAATACTCCTTCTTACACTGAATTTGGGCTTAATCTGTGTGTATTTGGGAAATGTAGGACTCATAATGCATAATATTGGATAACTCTCTAATTATCCCCCTTTTAAAGCTATTTTTGCTTTCCTCTTTCATCTATTCATATTAATGATTAGAAGCATATTAGGAAAATTTCCACAGAGAAATATAGTTAGTAAGCAATATACCTTTTATTTTTAGACTTCTGCCTGTAAAAAACCTCATTTCCTTATAATTAACAAGAATGAATGAGAATTGTGGTTTTCCTAGCCCTGAAATCCTAACACTCAGTAATGTTAGCTAAAAGTAATGATTGCTCTGTGATTTGTTTCTATATATAAAGGGTGTGCAAATATGCATGCTTATCTTTAGTAAGAGAGCTTCCCTAGCTCAGGCGATAAGGAATCTGCCTGCAATGTGGGAGACCCAGGTTCAACCCCTTGGTCGGGAAGACCCCCTGGAGAAGGGAATGGTTACCCACGCTAGTACTTGCCTGGAGAATCCCATGGGCAGACGAGGCTGATGGGCTCCAGTTCATGAGGTTGCAAAGAGTCGGACATGAGTGAGTGACTAACACTTTTATCTTGAGTAAAAGTGCTTTTAACAGATATAGAAACCATGATTCCAAGTGGCCAACTAATACTTAGTTTAACTGGAGGGCAAATCACACAATAACTTTGATATTCAGAGTTCAAGAGATTTCATGATGTCCTTCTGTTATTTTACAGCTTGATCAGTGGCAATTTGCATTCTTATTTGAATTAATATAGTGAGTATGTGACCATGAGAAATACTTTATTTGGTAATCAAAACTGACTGCCTAAATTGAGCATGGAAAGTCTCTCATGGAATTTCTAAGCTCACTGGGGTTTCTTCTAGATTGTGATGCTTATAAATGAGAATCCTCTTCTGGCAGAAGAAGCAGCTCTGAATAAGTGCTACAAGGTGATGGATTTGATTTGTGAGAAATGTATGAAGCAAAGAGACATGAATGAAGTACTGGCTATGAAAATGCATTACATCAGCTGTATCTTTCAGAAATGTATTAACTTCTTAAAAGACAGAGAGAATAAATTGGACACTCTGATCAAAAGGTACAGTTTTTAACCATGTCATGTATAAAATACACTTGAATGGATAGTGTTTTATTATATGAAATCTCATTATGGCTTTAAAAATTAAACATTTTAGCAGCAGCTGTTATTGTTGAGATCACATTTAATCTGTCAGAAACCAGGGGCCCTATTAAAACTAGATTGATTATTCCATTCTGTACTGTTTACAACATTTTTGCCATCCTAAATTATGGGTGAGGAATCTGAAGTTTGGGGAGGTTAAAAAGCATTTGTAAAATCATACAGCTAGAAGGTAGCCCAAGTCCAGATTTGATGATAGGTATGCTATGCCATAACTGCTGCTCTAGGTTGATCCCAGCCCTCAGTGTATCTGTGTTCCTGTAACTGGGAAGGTGTGTGTTGGCCTTGTTCTCTGACTACCAGGGGTCAGATTCTCATGATTTTACTAAGAAAAGAGAACTAAGTCAGAAGGGTGTGACTTAGTCAGAGTTTACATTCTTTGTTCAAATAACTGCCATGGTAATAAGTAACTAGCTAATCTAATAAATGTCTAGTATGTTTTACGTCAGGGGTCACCTTTTTAAATACATCCCTGGGTGCCTAAACCTGATAAGACCTGGCCTAATGGGCAGGTGGAACAGCAGTTTGAATTGAATCGATCCTCATGATGTGACTACACAGTGAAAATCTTAAGCAGCAAAGAAAAGTGAAAGTGTTGGTCACCCAGTTATGTCTGACTCTCTGCAACCCTGTGGACTGTAGCCCGCCAGGCTCCTCTGTCCATGGAATTCTCCAGACAAGAATACTGGAGTAGGTTGCTATGTCCTCCTCCAGAGGATCTTCCCAACCCAGGGATCAAACCCCAGTCTCCTGCGCTGCAGGCAGATTTGTTACCCTTTGACCTACCAGGGAGGCCCAGGGAGCAAGGAAGGAACTACTCAAACTTCATGTGTTCAGCTGGGAGGAAATGCTTGATAATTCGATTCCAGTTACTCTTTTAAAACTATCTTTCAGCTTGTTAAAAGGCCGAGCTTCTGATGGCTTTCCAGTATATCAAGAAAAGATCATTCGAGAAAGTATCAGAAAATTTCCTTATTGTGAAGCTACTCTCCTCCAGCAGCTGGTGCGAAGCATTGCTCCTGTCGAAATCGTAAGGCTCTTCCTAACTAGGTTAACTCCGTTAGTAGGACCTAATTACCATATTTTATATAATTAGAGGCATGTTCTCCTTAGCATTATTTAGTTACCTAATAAAGGCATAATTATCTGAAGGAAAATTTCAGAAACAAACATGGAGATAAATTTGCCTGCTAACACTGTTTCTGTTTATGCGTTTTCCCTCTGTCAGTCCTCTTCTTTCATTTATATAGTTCATGGTTTAATACACAGTATTTCCTTAGGTCAGGACATAGATATTATAGTTATAGTGGATACTTACATTTTTAGTGAGTTGGTGAAACCTCAACGGTGGGATCACACCCAGTACGTAATACAGACCCACGTTTGTTTTCACATGTAGCTTGTGAAAAACCAGCATAAAATCCCGTACTAGATGGAAAGTAGGAACTGAATGTCTGCCTTGATGGTTTCCTGTCGGGGGGATGTGAGGGGATGAGTTATGGGAAAACTCACTGTGTATCCTGCTAAACGATGTTAGAGTATGTCCCGCTTCTTAGATCCTCCCTTAATGCCTCTGATTTTATAAATTTTCCACACATTAAAAAAAAGTCTCTTTATACTTGTCAGTTATGGGAAGTAAATTTGAACTTTATTATCTGCTCTTTACTTACTTTCGTCATGTATTTATTTAAGTGGTATTAAAGACACTTCCTGCCTTCCCTATTTTGGATAGCTTTCAGATCACCTTATCTATACCAGTTATGCTTTTATACATTTCAATGGAATCCCTTATCAGCCTTTGTGTAATCGGCAAGAAACTGATCCTGACACTGTTACCATCCATGCCTTCCTCCCTCCCTCTGACAATGTCTGTTCTTCTCTAGCCTTCTCTAGGCTGCACTCTCAGCCTGAAAAATCAGGACAAAAAATGAGTTCCAGGTGTTCCTTTTATACATTAAGATTTCATCCACTCAGAACCATTAAAGAAGAAAAACCTAAGCAGACAAGATGATTTCATGAAGTTCATGCATTGATTTATTCCCGAGAGTTCGCCATGATTTCACACAGAGATTCTTTCCGCTTGCTCTGTAATACGCTTGGCTATTTGGTGTTTAAGTTTTTTGGAAGTTTAAAGTTACCATATTATGAGGGTAGCTTATCAATTATGAAATGTGTTTTGGCTGTGCATATCATACTCCAGCCAACCATGAATTAAATAGATAAGAGCTTATTTAATTCACATATACTCAGAAGCCCAAAGGTAGGCAGACCCAGTCTGGTACAGTGGACTAGGGACCCAAGTCCTTTCCCATTTTCCCACCCAATATTCTCTAGCCATATGGATTATCATGCACATGCTAATGACCTGACAGTTGCAAGGCATTTTTTCTTCAAAATCATATCCTTCAAACTCATATTCCTGTCCTAGGCAGGCAAGAAAATGAAATTGGTCTAGAGCTGGAAAGCATAAGCTTATCAGAGAAGCGGTTAGCAGTGGCTGCCGAGTGATACCCAGCACTAATAAGTGTAGCTGACATTGTACCTTTAAGGGAGAAAACAGAAAAACTAAAAAGAGCAGGTCGGAGTACTTTTTAAAAAGTCAAAGCAGGTCAGTGTAGGACTCAACACTCCATCTTAGCCCTATATCATAGAACAGTGCAGCTGGAGAGGATAGTGTCTGATGTTTATCCTAGTGATCTGAGTCATCAGTAATCAAGATAATATTTATTTAATGCATTTTAGAAACATTGCTCTCTTTAAAGACTTCTGCTCTCTTGAAGACTTGATCTGCAATGCTTGTGGCTGTGAGTGTCCCAGATAGCCACTGTTGACTGCCTGACAGATTCCAGTATTCTGCAAGTTCAGAAGCCTCTGAAGCAGTATTAACCTTGTCCCATGACACGGTGGTTCTCACGGTCGGCTGCCATGAAGATCACCCATGGTATTTTCTGACAGTGTTAGTGCCTGAGCCCAAACCGCTGCCTATCGTGGAACTCTGGCTTCTGCTTGTCACAGAGGTCAGCAGGAAGTGTGAGGCATAGTCCTATTTAAGAAATGCTCCCCAAACATTGTAACATGAGACCGTTGAAGATATTTTGCTTTATCATTTGAAGGTGTATATTTTAACTTCTGGAAGGCTAGCTAAGGTCTCTGATTTTATAGGATACATATTTAACAAAGTAGATGACAAGGTTTGGTATGGTAAGAAAGAATTCTTATCACTCAACTGTGACAAGAAAGATTTCACATGGTTATTCTGCTGTACCATCAATTTTTTTCTGAGGCAGTAGTTCACATTAATGGCCATATTTCTAGCAAAAAATATTTTAGTTTTACTTCTGGTATATTTGTGAGAATATCATTGTTTTGTGACTCCTACAAAAGTCCCATCTTGGGAAAGATTTTGAACATGTCTCAGTCTTGATTTTTTTTTCCCCCTTAATTTTTATTTATTTATTTTTAATTTTTGGCTGCACTGGGTTTTCGCTGCTGCAAGGGCTTTTCTCTATTTGAGGCAATTTTTAACAAGCTCTCTGATGCACAATTGCCATAGACATTCATTCTGTGCAAATATTCTGCAGATAGTGGAGGCTACTCTGGTTTCAGTGCACGGGCTTCTCATTGTGGTGTCTTCTCTTGTCGTGAAACACAGGCTGTAGGCTGTGCGGGCTTCAGTAGTTGCAGCACATGTGGGCCCTGGGCTCCAGAGCACAGGCTTAGTATTTGTGGTATATGGGCTTGGTTTCTCCGAGGTGTCTGGGATCTTCCCAGCCCGGGGATTGAACCCATGTCTCCTGCATTGGTAGGCAGATTTCTGTACTGCTGGGCTACCAGGGAAACCCTGTCTCAGTCATGTTTATGAAAAGAATATTTGAACATGAATATGTAATTGTAAAAACATTTAAGTACCAGTAATTCTCAAACTTTTAGTATGTTTCAGAATCATTTGTAATAATGCAGGTACATGGACCACATCCTTCGAGACTCTAATATAGAAAGTATAGATCGATCTGAATTTTGAACAAACTATCTGATACACTATCATTTCAGCACAACTGCCATAGACATTCATTCCTGATGAAATCATTAACTTGTAACTAGTATCAAGCTATTATTTCAGCTTTTTTCTCACTGTTATATTATCTTCATTCCAAAAGAGAATTCTTAACTCTTGAACTAAAAAGAAACTTAGTAATTATTTGTTTTCAGGAGGAGTAAAGTGGTTTTGAAATGAGTCCAGTGTAAAACAGTGTTCCAAGGTGGTTATTTGTTATGTATAACTGGTAAAATAAATATTCTTAGAAAGGAAAAGCAAATAAAAATAAAAATATAAATTATGAAAATGTCCACATTTTTAGTTAGGAATAAAAAGCAAATTTGAAAAACTCAGAAATGAGAACTGTTGTGAGTAGGTATGATAGCTCCATACCCTGTAATTGCTCTAAGTAGATCTTAATAGTATTATCCCAGGCAGATAAATATTTAAATAGGTCTTAATAGCATTACCCCAGGCAGATAAATATTTGCCCTTATAATTTCCTCTGTTAAGAAATTTCATAAATCCTCTTTAGCAAGCCATTCTGATTTTCAATAACTGTATAATTTTCATATTTTTGGTTTTCTTAATAACCTAATGCAACCACATGTATAGCTCTTTAATCTTAAGAGTTTGGAGCATTTCAGTGATAAAGGTGATAGTTTTATCTATTAGAATTGCGGATCTACATCAAGTAAATAGTTTTAAATAGACAAGTTCTTTAAAACACTTAAATTGCATTAAACTTTTAAGAATTATGATAAACATTTGTGATGTATCCTATAAATTGTCCCTCAGAATATGTATTATATATTGTCTTCATTCTCAGAAGGAAATTCCACTCTGAGTTCACTGTCCTATATCTGAAATCTTTGTATGCTTACTGAATAATCCCAGTTGAAAAATACGTTTATTCTAGAATCGAGCCAAATTTTTTCTTTCTGAACATCTGGGTCCACGACTTACCTGCCACGTACTTGGTGCAGAAAAAGGTGTGCTCAGAAAGGTGTCTGTGCCATAAAGTCTGTGCAGGCTCTCTCTCGCCTGAATCGTTTTGTCTCTTTTTCTGGAAGTGTCTTCGCTGCAGTCTGTCCATGGTGATTTCAGAGTTTTGTGTTTTTTCCCTCTTCTTGCTTCCTCTAGGGTTCTGATCCCACTGCATTTTCTGTGCTCACCCAGGCCATCACTGGTCAAGTGGGTTTTGTGGATGTTGAATTTTGCACCACCTGTGGAGAAAAAGGAGCAAGTAAGAGATGCTCAATGTGCAGAATGGTAAGACTGAAGTGAAGTTTGTTGACATCTGGTTTAGATTTCATCGAAGTTGATAACTGAGTTTTAATATTCTATAAATGTAATAGTTGGTGTTTTTTTCTAATAAATTCTAATATATTAGATATGAAGTATTGAATCTAATATTTTAAAATAATTTTGAAAAAGAACTGTAGGATACATGTAGTTCTGTTCCCTCTTCTGTCCAGCTCACATGTTGGCCAGCTTCCATGCTGACCACACCCAAAAAAAGAGAGTATGAATGAATGAATGGTCATGAGAAAACTTATTCACAGGGGACTGAGACTGGTGCATATATGAGAACCTACAACGATTCATAAATATGCAGTCTTAAATCTTCCAGTGTTGACTTCAACTACTCTCTCTTCATCAGCTCTTCCTTGTAAAGTTCTCACTCCCTTCTGACTGTCACTAATCTTTAAGCTTTCTGGACTGCTACCCACTTCTGCTAGAATTATCTTTATAAAGAGCATATCTGAATGGATTCTTCTCACATACAAATACTACCCACATGCATGCATCTGTACGTTCACTTTACCCTATAGATCATGTTAATTTCCTATTGTTTTTAAGGTTGAAATTCTTCAGCACGTTCTTCTGCAACCCATCATGTTCTGCTAGAAACTTCTTCTCCAGTTTCATTACCTTTAATTACTTACCTGTCTGAGCCTCAGTTTCCTTTTGTGTGAAATGGGGCTAGAGTTGTGAGAACTAAATGAGACCATCTATATTGATTAACTATGGCCACATATAAAAACACTCCAAAATGCATTACTTAAAATGAGTCTTTTTTTTTTTAAGTTTTTCTCATGTTTGTGGTTGGCTGGGGCACATCTGTTCCATGTGTTTCTCATCCTCCTTGGGCCAGCAGGCCGGGGTGAATATGTCCCCATGGTGATGGTAGGGCTGTAGATGATGTAGGTGATGTAGTAGGCAAGTAGAAACATACAAGGTCTTTTGAGGTCCAGCCTTGAAATTGCCATGCTGTCTCATTGTTCTGGCCAAAACAAGTTGCCTGGCTTTATTTAAAGTTAACTCTCCTCCCCTTCAGAGAAAAGAACTTTGAAGTCACATGGGAAAATGTATGGGTGCAGGGAAGAGTGAAGAATTGGGGCCAGTAATACAGTCTATAATACCTTCTATGTATAACAGCCTAGCCCAGTACTTGACATATAATTTTACAAAAGTCTCAGCTCTATTTACACAAATATGTTGCTCTCCTAAACACAGCATTCGCTTTCCTATTCCTGCATTTTTGTACAAGATATTCCGTCCACTTGGAATGCTTCTTCCCTGTTTCTCTGTCTGCTGACTCCCTCTATTTAGAGTGAGTCATTGCTTCCTCTGTGTTCCCATTGCTGTTACGTCCTGTTCTAGGATATAAATCATGTTGCTAATTATTAGCCTCCATCCATGTTACCCCATCCTGCTCTAGCTTCCTCTGGGACAACAATTGTTATTTTCTTTGTCCTTGTACCGTATCAATTCTGGCACACAGAAGTCTCTCAAATAAATCATATGTTAGAGTCTTTGGTAGACCATGTGTTATATATTCATTGTTGTTAAAAAGTATAAGCTAAAAATTGCAAAGGTAAACAATACACATTCATACATCATGGTTTTAAAATAAAGCACATTGGGAGTTAGTCACTTAGTCATGTCTGATGCTTTGTGACCCCACGGACTGTAGCCCGCCAGGCTCCTCTGTCCATGGCATTCTCCAGGCAAGAATACTGGAGTGGGTTGCCATTTCCTTTTCTATGGGATCTTCCCAACCCGGGTATCAGTCCCAGGTTTCCTACATTGCAGGCAGATTCTTTACCATCTGAGCCACCAAAGATGCCTAGAAAAGTTAATATTTTCACAGCACAGTACTTGATTTAATGTTGTAGTTGAGAAGTCATGTGACTACACCTCTTGAAAATAAACCTACAATTGCCTTCAGGTAATATACTGTGATCAGACCTGCCAGAAAACACACTGGTTTGCACATAAGAAAATCTGTAAGAATCTCAAGGACATTTATGAGAAGCAACAGTTGGAGGCTGCCAAGGCAAAGAGTGAAGAGGAGAACAGTAAGTGTATAAAAACTGAGACCATAATACTTGTCAGTAGGAAGAGGAAGGATCAATTATATGAACACAGGACACACACGCAGGAACTGCGTCTTCTCAGGGAACCAAGGAAGACTGGTGTTAACAAACATCAGGATTACACTTAAATATATCCTTCTTTTGAGTCTCTGGGATAATGTACAGACTATAGTCAGCCTAGATAGCACTAGAAAATGAAAAATGTAAAATTCTGAGGAATGATATTTATTCCCCTTTCTACTTTGTGATTCATGAGACTGCTCTGGAGCCATGTGACTCTTAATGAGTAGTTTACTTATATTTTGCTCACAAAGGATTTTAAGGTCTTTGAATAAGGAAATAACTAAATTTCCCCTAATGGCTACCTGAATATTTTTAAGATTGGAAGCCTTTAAATTTCTTAATTATGAAACTGCAGGTAAAATTATGGAGTAAATTTATAAATTACAAGTTAACTTGCACAGCTTAACTTTCCACAGGTGTGAGGGTAGTGAGTTCCATATTATTTTTCCTCTCCTTTCCTCATAAAGTGTATGACTCATTTTCATCAGAAACAGTGAATTGCTTCGGCAATGATTCACATATTGGAGAAGAGAACCACCCACGCTCTTACGTCCCACCCCAGAGGATATAGGATATGTATCACACATTCTGGGAAGTGATAGGTTGCCAAAAGGTTACCTGGGTGATTGTGATACTAAGCATGCTCATCTCTATTCCTCAAAGGACCATGTCCCTTTGCCACCTGGTGAAGAAACATATTAATGGAAATGGATGATTTGTAGAAAACTGCATTCATACCAAATAAACTGGTATAAATAGATTATTAATAGGATAGTCAGGCTTTCTGACTATCTTGCTTTCGAGAACTGTTTGCTGGACCAAACCTTTTTATCCTGTGTGTTGAAAGCGGTGTATAACGGCTGGTTACATACTCGAGAAGCTGTATGGGAGGGTTGTCAGTGGATGAGAACTTCTGGTTGTTAGACATCAGTTCATCCCACACACTATTGTACTCCTTTATTCTCCACAAATGTGCGGTAGGCTTTATTATCCCCCACTTTATAAGGAGACAGCCTTGGATAGGCATTTTACCTAACCAAGCATGTCAAGCTAATTCATGGCAAAGCTGTATTCGAATGTGGATTTTGCTTGTCTGCAATCCTGATTTCAAGGCCTGGGTTCAAATACCAGTTCTCTTATTTTCATTAGCTGTGCAACTATGAGCAAGTTAACAAACCCCCTCTCTTCTGTTTCCCCATTTGTAAAAGAATAATGCTAATAGAAAACTCCCCCTTGTGGTTGTTATGAGGATTAAATGGTTTAATACACAAAAAGCACTTAGAAGAGTGTTTGGCACATGGTAGAAGCCAGATGACTTTTTTTTTTCTTCTACTTTTTAGCAGATAGCAAACTTGATGTCAATTCTAATTGTGTTGGTGAAGAGCAGCTGGAGGAGGCTGAAACGACAGTCTGCCAAGAGGACGGCAATCCTAAGAGTTCTGAGGAAGGCGAGAAAGAATCCCTGCAGAGTGATGCTGGGCTGGAAGGCTTACCCGAGGCTGCTGCAGGTCCGCAGGTGTCTGAGGAGTAAGGGCCAGAGCAAGTGTCTGAGCAAGCGCGGACAGTCCTTACCTGGCAGGTAGCTGGGAACTCACATGATTGCGTCCTCCTTGGCTCCACACCTGCCTGGCACTGTGGCGGGATTCCACATTTCACAGAACACGTGCTTTCCAACAAGACCCTGTCCACCACGCCCTGACTTCGTACTGATTCTGTTCTATAATAGGACAGATATTCCTAGAGAGAAAAACTTTTTTTTTTTCAAAATGCAGGAGAAACATTTCTATTCCCTTTCTGAGGCAGGCTTCCCAGCAGTTGTTCTCAAAGGAAAATAAATTTCCTTTTAAAAAAGAAATATATGTTCTTGGGAACAAAGAGGCAAGCAGAACAGTTGTAGGAGAGGAGATTTTCAGGAAAAGAAAGATTGTATAGCCATAGAGATGGGTAGTTAAAAGAATCATAACTTATATGTAAATAAAATGCTTTGTATAAATAGCATTTATGGTAAAGTGCTACTTATTAAGATGCAATGAAATGAAGAAAAGCCACATGTGAAAGGAGCTCTGACAGTTCAGCTAATGGTGGTTTTCTGTAGAATTTATCCTGAGCAGACTGAACTTTATGTAGTTCCTGCAGTGACATTTTATCTACAGTATTTGTACCTTCAGAAATGTCAAATCCCCCAGGAGGAACTAAGGTATAGCCACAGTTATCTCAGCATGTGCATTAAAAAAAGATGTTTGATGAAACTGTTGGTTAAACAAAGGCTGAACATACTGTGTCCACAGTTACTATAAAGCTGATTCATGTGCCATTTTCCACTTGAAAGGCTGTGACCTTCCTGTAAGCTTTTCATGAGGTTCTTCTTGTCCACAAACTGATTTATAACTGTCATTTGTAGGCTGTGCTGGCATCAGTTTTTAGTGTCTGCGTATTTAAATTGAGCTAGAGTGAGATTTGAAGATAGTGCTGTGTTTCAAAGTTCCCGTGTGTTGACTGTAAAATAAATTGTGCCTACTAATAGAGCCAATTTAAATCTTTTTTCATAGTTTATTGCTGTCAGGGGGTGACAATGGTAAAGAAATATTAGAGAACTTAAAACATTTTAGGAAACAACAAATACTGGAGAATGCAGTAATAATTATTTTCATATTTACAATTGTAAATCAGAATGACAAGAACTCTCACCTCACTTCACTGATCAGATTCTTCTGTCTTGCTGCTTTTTCTCTTCCTTTCACTCGGTTACTGTTCTCCCAGCCCCAACACGTACATCTTCTGTACACCTTGTAGCGTGCTGCTGTAGGAAGACTTCTTGTGAGTAAATCACTGTTTAGGGTTAAGTGCGTAGGAACTCAACAGGCAGATTTTTCCTGCACTTGTGAATCATGACAAGCCCCCCTTCTCCATTGAAATCCCTCAATCTACACACACTGATAAACATTTATCTTTGACTAGAAAAATGGCCCTCCCAGGCCTTCCTCTTCCACAAGTAAATTTTTAACCCGAGTTCACTGATTTTAATTACTTTTTGGGTATGTGGTATCATCATGGTCCCTGTTTTTGGATAGCATGAAAGGTTATGAAAAAGCCGAAGGGAGTAGGAGAATCGAGATGTGGCAACATAGAGGTACTTTTCTCTTTATTGAAATGAATGCTAATGTGAGTCAGAACTCCAACACAACTACAGCAGGCATTAGCAGTAACTTTCCAGTTGGACAAAGAGGACTTCAGATATAAGCCATGTCAGTATCAAAAGTTCTATAGACATATTTCAGGGAAGGGTTGGTCAGAAAATGGAGTTTTAGAAAAATGAGGTTGCTTCTGATGGTATTCTTTGTCATCAATAACCAAAAATAGATGATTCCATTATAACACCATCAAAACAGGTGGACATCCAGCTACCTTTTCCTTTTTTTTTTTTTAACGTATTATTTTCAATATGCCATCAAGAAACTTTTCTCAAAAACAAGACCTAAAGGATTAGACTAGTCTTACTATAGTAATATGTCTTGTGCTCAGAGCTGATATAATAGAATATTAAATTAGCCAATGGGTTTATTCAGAAATTGGATTGTGCTTTTTGACCCAGTGGTGGTTTAGTTGCTAAATTGTTTCTGACTCTTGCAACCCAGTGGACTGTAGCCTGCCATGCTTCTCTGTCCTTGGGATTTCCCAGGCAAGAATACTGGAGTGAGTTGCCATTTCCTTCTCCTGGGGATCTCCCCAACCCAGGGATCAAACCGGGGTCTCCTGCATTGCAGGCAGATTCTTTACCAACTAGGTAATAATAATAGCTAACACTGAAAGCTACTGTATCTCTGAAGTTATTTTAATATTCACAACAACCCCATGAATTAGGCTTCATTTTTATCCCCTCACAGCATAGATAAGTAAGTTAAAGTCAAAAACGGCCCACTCAGTCATCCAAAAGTACAGAGTTGGAACTCAACAGGGTCTACAGTTTGACTACAGCATTGTACACTCTTCATATGTTACCATTGCTGTAGTTTCTCTGCAGACATGAGATAATAATAGAGCTGTGTAGACAAGCCATTATTTTATAGGATGTGGCGGGTAACCCCTTGGCCCTTAAAAAGATGACTGATTTTAGTTACCCATCATGTTTATGAGTTTACTTGAGTTTTAATGTTATTGGATATTAAACTTAACAGAAATACTTGAGTAGTTCTGCAGTGTTTTTATCTTCTCAGGGCCATCTTCCCTGCTTCTGAAGCAAATCAGTTCCCTTCTTGAGTGGGAGATAGATGTCTTCCTAATCTCCCAGTTTTATAACAATCAGTAGTGACCTGTTTCGTTGGCCACAACAAGACCCATCAGAGTACCTCTCAGAGATTTTACATTCCTGAAGCCAAAGAAGAAGGGTTTTTGTTTGTTTCTCCCTTGGGATGATCATAAATTATAGGGATTCAGTTCAGAAGCTGACATGTGGAGGTACTTAGGAGAATGCAGCCACTGAGTACATACAGATAAGAGAGGGATACAAGGAGGGAAGGGTGTCGAATTCACTGGGTTTTGACATAGTCCACAGTGGGTTTGCTTCATGTGGTTACATGAGCAAATTTCTCATTTGGCTTTCTATAAATCAGAAGCAAAGAACTAAGACTTTATTTTAGGGGGCTCCAAAATCACTGTAGATGGTGATTGCAGCCATGAAATTAAAAGACACTTACTCCTTGGAAGGAAAGTTATGGCCAACCTAGAGAGCATATTAAAAAGCAGAGACATTACTTTGCTAGCAAAGGTCCATCTAGTCAAGGCTGTGGTTTTTCCAGTGGTCATGTATAGATGTGAGAGTTGGACTGTGAAGAAAGCTGAGCACTGAAGAGTTGATGCTTTTGAACTGTGGTGTTGAAGAAGACTCTTGAGAGTCCCTTGGACTGCAAGGAGATCCAACCAGTGCATCCGAAATGAGATCAGTCCTGGGTGTTCATTGGAAGGACTGATGTTGAAGCTGAAACTCCAATACTTTGGCCACCTCATGTGAATAGTTGGCTCATTGGAAAAGACCCTGATGCTGGGAGGGATTGGGGGCAGGAGGAGAAGGGGATGACAGAGGATGAGATGGCTGGATGGCATCACCAACTCGATAGACATGAGTTTGAGTGAACTCCAGGAGCTGGTGATGGATGGGGAGGCCTGGCGTTCTGCGATTCATGGGGTCGCAAAGAGTCGGACATGACTGAGGGACTGAACTGAACTGAACTGAAGACCCCCTTGAAAAACTTGATGGAATCAAATTTCAAAAGTTAAATGTATATAAATATAACTAAAAGGAAAACGAAGGCACATAAAAGTTTTGAGATCATATGCTCTTAGAAAAAGTACAAAGGCAGGTCAAGTTTTGGATTACAGTTACCATTTTGATTGGAAAAGCTACCACTACAAGGTGTTTTTGCATCCTTTAATGTTTATTTTGGAAAAACATATCTGCAGTTGTATAGAAATTAATATTGTTTATGTAAGCTGTGATAATATTAAAGCATCATTTGCATGGACAAAAAGCAAGATCTTAATTTAGTAAAAACAACTTTCTTCTTCCTGCTAATAATGATTGAATGCTTTAGCAGATAAATAGATTTTCCCCCAAAAAGGTGGCTCTAGTTTCTATGTCCTTTAAAGACAAAATTCTAGTTTTATAAATCAATAAAGGCATCTTTTTAAATGGTGATCTTAATTTGTCTGCGATGAATCAGGTAGCTATGTAATTGATCAGTTCAGGGCAGTGTAGCTAGCAAATTCATACACTTACATAAAACTACTTAATCTCAGGGATGATGCCAAATAACTAATTTTAAATGTGAAAAAATTGTCAATTCCAGAAGAAACCATGAATGAATTCTTAGTGACTTTGGCATGAAGAAGGCCTTCTTAAATGTGACACTAAACTCAAAAGCCACAAATAAAACTAGTTCAGCTACATTAAAAAAAAAATCTGAACACTTCTGGGAAGATAGTGTATATATAATTTTCCTTATTCCTTCTCCTAAGTAAGACTGAAAACCCTGGACATTACATATAAAACAAACAGAAGAAGGCAGACTGGCTAGGCCCCTCAGGACCAGGCAATGATACTTGGTTTTTTTTGTCTGTTTTCTTTCTGCCTCATATATCACAAATTTGAGGCGGGAAAAGCCAGTAACATGGAAACAACAACCAGAGGCAAAAATAAGCTCCAACAAACAAATATCTGCTCTGTGGATTTGGGACCCAAAACTGAAACATCAAATCATACCTGAATTTCAAGTCTGCACCAGCCTACCCTGCAAATTTTGGACTTGCCAGCCCCACCCCCAATGGCATGAAGCAATTCCTTAAGATAAATTGCTCTCTGTAAATATACCCAATTGATTCTGTATCTCTGAAGAACCCTAATAGACCGCATGTCCTAGTTTGAGCTGCTAAAACAAATTACCAGAGGCTAGGGTGGTTTAAACAGCAAACTGATTTCTCACAGTTCTGGAGGCTGGAAGTTCAAGATCTGGGTGTATAAGCATGGTCAAGTTCTTGGTGAGTGTCTTCCTGGTTTACAGAGGGCCACTGTATTGTGTCCTCATTTAGCAGAAAGGGCGTGCTAGCTCTCTGGCCTCTTATAAGCTTGCTAATCCTATTACTCATGAGACTCCACCCTCATGACCTGATTGCCTCCCAAAGGCTTTACCTCCAAGTACCATCACACTGGGAATTAGATTTCAACATGTGCGTTTTGAGTGAACACAAACATCCGTCTCTGATGCTAGGTATAATTCCTAAGGGGCCCAACTGCTCTTGAACAACACAGGGGTGAGGGGTGCCCACCCTCCCAGAAATCCAACTATAACTTTCCAGTCTGTCCTCCATATTCGCAGTTTCACAGCTGTGAATTCAAACAACTACAGAGCATGTAGTACTGTGCTACATATTGGGAAAAAAATCTGCCCATAAGTGAATCTATGTAGTTCAAAGCCAAGTCGTTCAAGGGTCAACTGTAATAGATGACATATATTGAGCACTTTGAGAAAGCCACTCTACTTAACACGTCACATACATGATCTAGTATAATCCTTGCAACTCTGTGAAGTAACATTATTTTAAAGAAGAGGAAATTAAAGCCTCTATAGAAATTAACTAACTTGTCCAAGTAACATAACTGGTAAGTGGAGGAGCTGAACTAGATTGTCCAATTCCAGAGTCCTAGCTTATAACCACAGCCCTCCACAAATCTATGTATCAGTGTTTTCTCTTCCCCAGTTAAAAGATCAAGTGATGCATCCTGAGATAAATGTGCTTCCTCTTAGACCCGCTTGAATGTGTCTTTGTTGTTTGAAACAAATAACTTAATTAAAGACTCTCTCAATTGTGCATTCCATTTTGGTAGAGTTTTAGATTATTTAGGTAAGGATCATGTATTTATTTTCTCCTTCTCTCCAAATTATATTTAATGTAATGTTTTCCTGTCTTGGAACTAACCGGCCTTCATTCTTGAACCAGAACTACCTGGTATTGAGGAGTGCATTTTAAAACAAATCTTTTTCATACAAATGACATATATTTTCCATTAGTTCTCTAAAAAGATTAAGTAAAATTTGTTAGACATATTTTTGCAGTTGGAATAAATTTTTCTTCCATTTTAGAGATTGTGGGATTAAAAATAACTTTTTTCTTTCTTTCTTTTTTTTTTTTTTACTATTCTTTTAGTGGTTAACCTGAGTATTGCAATACCCCATCCTCCATTTACTGCAATCTAATTAAAAAGTAATACTGCTTGTGCAGTTTATGAGCCAAATAAATCTGAGCCAAAATACACCATTTCCATCCTGAAATAGATTGTTGCTCTGCCCACCCAACATTATTGGTTGGTGGGTCTCATGGTACTCAGTTCATGATGAGTTCAGCCCAGGCTCCCAGTTCTAGAGTGAATGCAGTGCCATTCCTCAAACTGATCAGTGACTAGCTCTCTGCTGCTGATGCTGTGACGCTTGAAGACCGCACTGTAACCCCTCTCAGCTTCCCAGAGGCTTCACAAGGTATGGTTACTTACAACAAATACTTCTAGCATTATAGATTAGGCTGGGTTATTGTGTTACTTGGGGGCTCCCAGGTGATTCCGTGGTGAAGAACCCACCTTGCCAGTGCAAGAGACACAAGAGATGAGGCTTCAGTTCCTGGGTTGGGAAGATCCCCTGGAGGAGGGCATGGCAACTCACTCCCAAGTATTCTTGCTTGGGAAATAACATGGACAGAGGAGCTTGGCAGGCTAGAGTCCGTAAGGAAAGAGTCGGATGTTACTGAGCAATGGAGCACACACACACACACATTGTATTAATTATCTATTACTATATAGCAAATTATCCCAAAGTTTATCAGCTTGAAGCATCAGTAAGCATTATCTCATGAAGTTCCTGCGGGCCAAAAATAGAAGCAGCTTGATGGTGTGGTTCTGGCTTGGAGTTTCTCAGGAGGGTGTTATGAAGCTTTCAACTAGGGCTGCAGTCCTCTGGGGCTTAAATAGGATCTGGAAGACCCACTTGCAAGGTGGTTAACTGGGTCTGGAGGAAGAATTGTAACTCACATAGTTGTCACAGAGGACTTAGTTCCTTACTTACTTCTGGAAGTAGGTCCAGTTCTTCACCACGTTGGTCTCTCCAGAGGACTGCGTTAAGTGTCATGACATGACAGCTGGCTTCCTGCAGGTTAAGTGGGAAGGAGAGAGAGGAAGAGAACATTTTGTTTCTTCCTGTGAAGTAATCTTGGAACCCACATGCCATCATTTTTGCCTTTATATCAGCCACTCATGAAACTCTTTTTCTTTTCTTCAGCTGTAACCTTCTGCCAACCACCAAACCAGACTCGGCAGATGCTAGCTGTGCACAAAATCATATGTGCCCACAGGTAAAAGGAGGTCACAGATTCTTGGCAACGGTTCACTACTCCCTCTAGGGTTTTTAATCTCTTGCTTTTGATTTCAGCCCCATTTCTACAGTGTGTCTGTGGTACAGTGTGATAAGGTCTAGGCACCATCAGATAAGGGGACATGTTGCTCTGCTTTTTATAAGCTTTTATCTAGCTCTTGAGCTTAGCTGGAGAAGATCAGCAATATATTTTGGGTTAGCTTACATGTCCAGTTTTGTGTCTCAGCACCAGGCAATTGCTGGAAACTTTTCTGTTTTTACTTCCCTTTTACAGAGCGCTTCTGGGTAGGCCAACCACAGATCATAGGCTCACACCCAGAACTGATAAATGCCTCCAAAGGTGAGGGTGAAAGTCATACCTTGTGTCGTGATCATACAGTGGAATACTATATATATCAATGAGCACAACAGAATTATTGCTACTAGCAACAACATGGGTCCATTTTACAGTGTTGAGTAAAAGAAGCCAGAAAAAATAATTCAGCTTCTATGATTCCATTTATATGCCTTTCAAAAACATTAATATATGGTTTAGAAACCATATTAATATATTTTAATATCTAATATATGTGTTTAGAAACACAATACATGGTTTAGAAATCAGGATGATGTAGTAACTGGTCATTGGACTGGTAACAGGAATGAGGTTTCTAGACTACTGGTAATGTTCTGTTTCTTGATCTAGGATGATAGTTACATGTACATGTTCATTTTTTTGAAAATTTGTTAAAACTTATGATTTGCGTATATTTCTATATCCATGTTTAACTTCAAAAGAAACAAGAGAAAATGTAGGAATTATTTTTCCTTGGTGTTTCTGTTTACATTGTAATGTTTCAAATAACACCACAGTAAATAAAGAATATGCTAATCAAAGAAAAGTTTAATATATAACTGAAAACTGCTAAGATTTCTAGAAACACCAGGGGCTATCTCAGTGTGATTGTAAGCATTTGGGCAGGTCCTGTGTCTTTCTCTTCAAGGTATTTTTCCTCTTGTGTTGGCACCGTGTCCCAGTTCAGAGAGGTAATAGACATTGCCGATCGCTTCATGGACCTTACAAAAACAGCATCTTCTGGGTCATCAAACATAGTTCTGCAAAAATGGCAATTATGTCAGCAAAAAATCAATTAGACCAAAACACATATTTAATTTAAAGGCATCAGTGCCATATTTTTCTGTTATTTGTAGTATAGTACCACTGACAAATGACTTTAGAGCCCTACTGACAAATGACTTTCAGGACAAGTAACACTGTTTTTATTGTATATTTTAAAAATACAATGGACATATTTGGTATCAGCTATAATAGATGTCAATATAGATGTGACTATTCTTGCATTCACATTTAAAGTCAATGGTTAAATGAAATGATTAAAATATTTATAGCTACAATATGTATTAGTATCATATACATTTTATTGAAATATTATTATTTCTCTGCATTATTCTACATTTTATAAAAAGTGCTTGAAGATAATATTTTTCAAGACTGAATCCAAAGAAAAAATTCCTTAGTGCAAAATGAAAAAGAATGATGATTTTAAAAATTTATCAATATTCATAAATTAACATTTTTTTCATAGTTATGAACTGTTTCTTTTAAAAATATAAATTCCAGTGCATATAAAATATTAATAATTGTGCTCACTGAACATATTTGGGGGAAAAGTAAAAAGGAAGTAAGGACCTTCATTTTTAATATCAGGTAATTCTTAAGTTTTATATTTTTATTGTTACTTCTAAGATTTTGTGTTTTTCTTTTTTAACTTTTTTCCTAACTTCTCCCTCCACCTCACTCCACCTCTTCATTTATTTTAGGTTATAATAAGAATACTAGAACCCCTAAATATATCAAATATAAATACATAGCTTGAAATCATTCATCACAGGAAGACAATGTGATTTTTCCTATCGAAGAGTGAGTCATTTTTTAACTCATTAAAATTCATTTGGGGAAATGGGAATAATTTAGGAAATCACAATTATGAAATAATATGATAATAAAGTAAAGTTTAAAAATCACTTACTTGTCTACATTATTCGCAAATGCAAAGTCTGAAAAAGAAATTCTAAATTAGTATTTTTCAAATGTTTATTCAGTATTTTATTTTATTTTTTTTTTCCATTTATTTTTATTAGTTGGAGGCTAATTACTTTACATCATTACAGTAGTTTTTGTCATACATTGAAATGAATTAGCCATGGATTTACATGTATTCCCCATCCCGGTCCCCCCTCCCACCTCCCTCTCCACCCAGTCCCTCTGGGTCTTCCCAGTGCACCAGCCCCGAGCACTTGTCTCATGCACCCAACCTGTGCTGGTGATCTGTTTCACCCTAGATAATATACATGTTTCAATGCTGTTCTCTTGAAACATCCCACCCTCGCCTTCTCCCAGAGTCCACAAGTCAGTTCTATACATCTGAGTCTCTTTTTCTGTTTTGCATATAGGGTTATCGTTACCATCTTTCTAAAGTCCATATATATGTGTTAGTATACTGTAATGGTCTTTATCTTTCTGGCTTACTTCGCTCTGTATAATGGGCTCCAGTTTCATCCATCTCATTAGAACTGATTCAAATGAATTCTTTTTAATGGCTGAGTAATATTCCATGGTGTATATGTACCACAGCTTCCTCATCCATTCGTCTGCTGATGGGCATCTGGGTTGCTTCCATTATTCAGTATTTTAAAAGAATGAAATAATGCTATAAAGGAAAAAGTCTAGAGCATATGTTTCTGGGTTTTGAGCAGTCGTTCAGATAAATAGTTAATAGTAAATAGATAGTAGTAGATAGTAGATAGATAGTAGTATATAGATAGTAAATAGATAGATAGAAAGTAAATAGATAATAGTAAATAGATAAATAGTTCAGTTCCCAACCCCAAACTGAAATTTTCTCTCAGATATAGAACCTTAGGTGTTTCTAATGTCTTGAGGCAAATTCTTTACTACAATACATGCTTCAAAACTGAGAACAAAATGCTCTATCAGTTTGGTTACCAGTGGAACCCATGTGGGGGTTTTTATAATTAAGATACTGAGTCTCATGTGCAGAAACGGAGCCTTTTTCTTTTTCAGATAGACACGTGCATCTGTAAATGGACTAATACACCAAATGTGGAAAAAATATTTAGGGCAGTTTAAGCCACTTGGATTCTTGGCATTAACTTCAAAGAAACAGAATAAACAAATCCTAGGTCATATACATCTTCCCTGGCTTTGGAGCTCAAAGGCTAGTCCTCAAAGCTTGGATTTCCTATGGAATCTTCTGGAGACTGTCATTGCTTTGTTTATTCCTCTGCAGAGGCCCAGTGCCAGGCTAGTGATGGAATGTACCAACACCTGTTGGACCAGCAAAGCCCACAGTCTGAGCTCTTGCCAACCCACAGGCAGAGGGACACTTTGCTTTAGCAGAGGGGTTCATGGCATCGTTCCCATACAAGTGGCTGGTGCAAGTCTTCCATTTCTTTGCTGATCTCCCCAGACTCTGTTTACATTTTCAATTACAAAAAGCTCACATTTTGCTTATGATGAATATAAACCAAAAAACGGTAAAGTCAAATTCCCCTTTGATCTTTCCAGTTCCTCATATCAGTAGTATCACTATTAAGTGTTTTGTATGTATACTTCCAGCCTCCTGTGTGCGTGTACATGTGCACTCACATGCATATACAAAAAGATTTATTGCTGACAGAATTCTAATTTTGTCATTACTTCTCATTATATTGAACTTCCCTAGTGACTCAGTTGGTAAAGAAACTGCCTGCAATGCAGGAGACCTGGGTTTGATCCCTGTGTTGGGAAGATCCCCTGGAGAAGGGAATGCATTATATTACTCAAAATGCGGGGTTTTTTTGTGTGTGTGTGTGTGCTCAAGATATATCATAGAATGATTCCTTAATCCAATAGTTTGTATTGTAAGGATGTGCCATAAGTTAACTTTCAATTGAGACTTTCTGCTGTTTTTCTTTTACAAAAAAATGTTTCAGTTAGCACTTTATACATATATCTGTTCATGTGTGTGCAGATACTTCTGTAGTAGAGAGATTTCAAATTTAGTTGCTGTATTGAATAGGTTGCATATTTTTTAGGTGCATGGTTACTGTCACATTGCCATATGACCTTGCAAGAAAGTTGAACTAGTTTCCACTCCCACCAATTATATATGAGTTATGCTTTTGTCTCTGCTCCACTTCACCAGCCTTTCCAGCGTTTGCCTAACTGCAGGATGAAAATGGCATCTCATTGTTTTAATTTGCACTTACTTGCTCACTAGTGAGGCTGACTGTTGGATGTCATATTTATTTCCTTCTATAAATGTCCACATCTTTTGTCACTAGTTTTCAAAATGATTTATAGGATCCTTTGACATAATGGGCATTAACTTTGCCTACTGTATATATTGCAAATATTTCTTCCAGTTGTGTTTTTTAATTTTATTACTGGGATTTGAAGAAATTTCAAGTTGTCCTTGCTTCTCAAGCTATTTGGAATACAATTGATTTCTTTCTCAATTTAGAGTGAAGAGTAATAAAATCAAAATGTGGTGTTACAATTGCTTTATAAACATTTTCAAGTATAGTTTATTTCCAATGAAAGAATTTATCATCCTCAATCATCACAGTAAGAACAAATATAGAATCTGTAAAACTATAGGGCACAATTTTAAGAGCTTACGTAGGGTGTTCAACTAAGTTCATTATAAATGTTTGGTTTGTGGAAAATGAGGAGATTGATAGATTAATTAGGGTCATGCTGCCAATTTGGGGTAGGGATAGTCAATCTCTACAAATTAAGAATGTGGATTAAGAAGAAAGAAATACTCTCTCTACCCTTTCTTCCCTAATTTTGTTTTTGAAGATTGGATATGAAAGAAATGGAAAGCTCAAAAGGTAGTACTCAGCTATCCTCCTCACACTGGGAAAACACTCTAGGCATGATGAACAGATGGGGGCGGCCTTATATTGCTTGTTAATAGGTGCACTAGTTGTTTCTAAGAGTGGAGGTTTTCTATCCAGAGGTTCCTTTCCTACTACAGTGTGGCTTATCCTCCCGTCCCCCACGAATCCAGTAGCATTTAGTTTGAGTGTTAGCTTTTACCTGAACGAAAAGAAAAACCAAGTGCCTAGCCAATAGAACAGCCCAACTTATCATGCAGCTATTATGTGTCAGATCAGGTGTTGCAGTGGTTTGCATAATAAGCATCCTGAAAGCCAAAAGACGATGTCACCCCCATTTTAAAAATCAGGAGGCTGAAGCAAATTCATGTCCAAAACAAAACGTGTAATACTAGCAGAGCTGGTGTTTAGATCCAGGAGAATCTGATCCTCAAACTTATTTCTGGCCTCTAGACTGGTTGTTCTCCTAGAGGGAGTATGCATCAGAATCACCTGATAGGCTTGTTAAAACATAGCTTCCTGGGTCAACCCTGAGTGTCTAATTCAATAGATGTGGTTTGGGGCAAGAACGTGCATCTGCAGCAACTTACTAGGTGATCTGCTGCTGATTTGGGGGACCACACTTTGATAATCATTGCTCTGCACTATAGCCTTCTGCATCCAGAACATGTCCTCTAGGTATTTCTCCTATTCTATGGGATATACAGAGGACTGAGGAATATGTCAAATTATACTCTGTGGAAACAATCATACAAATCGAGGCATTCTGTAATGTAACTGGCCTGGTCCCTTCAAAAAGTCATGGGAAAAAAATGGAGGCTATTTTAAATTAAAAGAGACTGAGACGGTTGGATGGCATCACCGGCTCAATGGACATGAGTCTGAGCAAATGCCAGAAGAAGTGAAGGACAGGGAACCCTGGCACGTTGCAGTCCCTGGGGTTGCAGAGTTGGACACAACTTATCGACTAAACAACAGTGAAGAACCACAACAACCAAATGTAATTGTGAACCCTGACTAGATTCTGGTTTGAAAAAGCAGTTGTAGAAGTCATCTTGTAACAAGTGGGAAATTTGAATATGGATTATATATTAAATAACATAAAAATTAAACATAAGTTGTTTTTCTTAGGTGTGATTATGGCATTGTGGCCTTATAGAAGAATGTCCTTATTTATTAAATTTATAGGCCAAATTATTTAGGAAGGAAATTTCTTTATGTCTGCTACTGAAGCATTTAAATGGTTCATCAATACTTGATATTTTTGAGTTTACATAAGAAGTAAAGCCTCATAGATGAAGGTGAATATGGTAGAATATTAATTGTTGAATACACATGGACATGTATAAGTGTTTAATATTTTTTCACCCATTTCTGTTGGAAAAACTTTGTGATAAAAAGTTGACTTTTCATCTTGATTTTGCCGTTTTTTTTTTAATCTTGCTCATTCTTGAATAATAATTTAGCTGGCTGCAGAATTCTTGGTTGACTATTTCTTTTCCTTAGTATTTTAAAAGTATTAGATCACTGTCTTCTGATTTCCATAATTGCAGTTGAAGATTGTGTTGTAAATCTATAAATTATTTTTTTGTAGGTAATCTACAATTTTCTCTCTTTTAACCTCATTTTGCCTTTGGTGTGGATATTTGTTGCTGTTTCATGTCTTTTATGTTTTTGAATTAATTTTGTCTGGTGAATCTAAGGATTTATAACATTTAACAAATCTGGAAAGTTGCCAGCCATTATCATTTCAAACATTACCTTTGGCCCAATTTCTCTATTTTTCCCTGTGGGATTACAACATTTATTACTAAATTTTTGTAGGAAGTAAACATTATTTCCAAATGTCTCCTTATCACCTGCTTCTTTTTCTATGTTGCATTCTGAGTAATTTCTTCAAAACTATTTTCCAATTTAATATTTTTTCCCTTTGCTTCTAGAAAATCTATTTAGTTATTTTTCAAATATATGTTGTCTTATTGGCAAAATGTCATGAGGAAAAGGCTTTTTGTCTTTGCACCATTTTTCATCCCCATGTGAAACCTGGTGGTACAATAACCACTTGGCAACCCTAAAGCACATTAAAAATCACAGAACAAAAGATGGATGTATTCTCAAACACTGAAAACATCATTTAACTTTACACTAACCTTGGACACTCTTTGTTGTGTGTGTAAAGTAAAGCTCTATTTGCTTCACTGTAGTTGGATTTCTGTTACATACAAGAAAATTAAATTCCAACTAATGAATACATTATTGAAGATATTCAAGTTATACTTCCATATGATCACAGTGTAAGAGAGTACAACCAAATAACAATGTTTATTTCTGGATGGAGGAATTGCAATGATCATTATTTATTTTTAATATTTTTCTATATTGTGGAAAACTTACAGCCTTAATCCATGAAATTGTCCAGAGTCATTGGTAACAGCAGCAATTGCAGCTTATGTCACTGAGCCCTTTATGCTGTGCTGGATACTGGGGTGTGGACTTCAGTGTGTTATCTCATTGCTATCACATTATCTTACTTAATTTAACATACACAACTGATGGTGAAGGTTGCATACTTAATTAGGCTAATCAAATTAGAAAAGATTTCAGTATGTAAGTGCTTAGCTTACTGTAAATTGAAGTTATTATATTCAAATTAACCAAAAGCTTGTGGAGTTTTAATTTCATTTTTTTTTTTCTCTTTTCAAAATACCTGAAGGTACTCTCTGTGCTGGTTTTTGCTTAAATGGTGATCGAGGATCCCATGAGGCATCTACTTTTCCTCTGAATGCTATTGATTGAACAATATGAGCCTTTTTATGGTTAAAAAGCAGAATCATTGACCTTCTTTCCTTTTCTGTAACTTCTGACAAATGCAAAAAGGTAATGTTATTGCATAGCATTATAAATAGATATGCAGAGTGAGTAAAAAAATAGAATTTCTGTCAAAAATGGATTTGTCCTAACTATGTCGTATGTGAACATCCTGTCATAATAAATTTGTAAAAACTCTACCAAGCTAATTCCTTAATCTTACAAGCTCAATATATGTCCCTCATGTCACAGGGCACAGATCCATCTTATCTCATCCAGACATTCTAATGCATCACCGTGGATGATCGAAATTACAACTGTGCTACATCTCTTCTTTTCCTCAAGGTTATGAGGAAAAAGAAGAATAAACATAAGGTTTTAATATATCTTCGTTAAGAAGTTACTCAGTTACAAATGATTAAGAATGTTCACATCTGTAGAAAGATAAGCAGGTAGGTAGGTAAATAGCACTTATGGGTAAAACAGACCTCAAAAAATGTAAAATATAATGCACTGAGGTTGATTATTTTTTTGTGGCTTATACAAGTCAGACATACTAGTTTGTCTGCAATATCTAAAAATATATCACAAAGAGGTTATGATTGATTACATGCTTTAGTATATACATGCATATATACTTATAGAATTTCAAAGAATATGACTTTTAGAATTTAAATAGGCAAAGCCTTAAGAGATTTAGTCCAATTGCCTCATTTTTTAAATAAAAAATTAAAAGAGTGCCAGGGGGTCTGTGAATTAGTATTCAGTACATAACTGACAAAAAAATAAAAATTTAAAAAGGAATAAGGAAAAACATGTATTATTGACAAAGCTAGAATCAAAAGGAGACCTTTCTCCAGGCTCTGTTAGATGGTCTTTCCTATAAAGTGGTCAACAGACAAGCTCCTAAACTAGAGCAAATTTCATACAGCAAAAATTTCAAAAATAAATACTTGAAAAACTCATTTACAAAGACAGTCATTTTCAAAAATCAAAGATCATCAGCATTTTAAACCACTGAGTTATAAGACTGACTCTCCAATATTTCTCTTCAAGAAGAAATGTTCTTACGATTTCGGTCAAGCAACTCGACTCCTGGAAGGTGGTAGATTATATATAGACGATACAGGTTATACTGGCATAAAGGGTTTTGGTAGAGAGCTGCAAAGAAAGAAGCCAATTTAAGATGTCAGATTTTGAAATCAGTTTCATTTAATACATTATATGAAAAATCACAAGATTAATATAAAACAGAACTATATGTGAAGTCCTGCTTCACAGACTTTTGGTTTCACCAAACCCTTACCTATTCATTGCAGGACTTACTTTTTCTATCTATTAAATTCATTCATTCAACAAATATTTTTGGAATGCTCACTATCTTTTAGGAACGGTGCTAGGTGCTGAGGATGTATCTGTGACCCAAATCTGCCACAAATGGGAAATTTTTTAACACGTCCATAAATTAATCTGTAAAGGAAGAACTTAATATCAGCTCTGGAGGGTTCTGGGAAGATTGAAGGCAGGAGGAGAAGGGGACAACAGAGGATGAGATAGTTGAATGGCATTGTTGTCTCAATGGACGTGAGTTTGAGCAAACTCTGGGAGATGGTGATGGACAGGGAAGCCTGGTGTGCTGCAGTCCATGGTGTTGCAGAGTCGGACACGACTGAGCGACCGAACAACAATGAAAGAGGGTTCTTGCTGCTGCTCTTTAAAAGGATTTGCTCATTTGGTTCTCTTCTTCCACTCTCAAAGGTCACATTGGTGTCTGTGAGGAGATGAGCAGAGATGTGGTACACTGTTTGAATACAGTTTTCTTTCTTGGCTTCACACCATTGTGCCTAGTCCAGAACATGTAAAGCCTGTAGCAGCTTCAGGTCTCAGCAGGAGCAGAGGAACACAGATGCTGGTTTTGCGCCCCGTGTACCTCTGCCCGGCACAGGGGCTCCGGATTTCCTTGTGTGCAGGGGCTAGGATACCTGAAGAACTATGCTTGCTAATACAGTTGCTGGAGGTGGGAGGCATGCTAATGCAGAAGAACGCCTGGCACTTCTCTCATGGCATCCCTTAGGCATCAGAAGATTTTAAAAAATGCATCAACATTTTAAAAATCTCCAACTGGAAGTTGTATTTTATTTTCCACAGAAAAGGTATTTTCCCTCTCCTTCTTTAGATAATATTAAGCAGGGTTATTTCAATACAGTCTTTTATAATTTTCACTTGGATATCTTTAGCTATTGGATTCTGCCTACATGGAATTTCTAGAAAATGTTTCTGGAAAATATACCTAGTGAGGAGAACCACTAGATGGCAGTAACAGAAAGAGCTCCAGCTATTGTACAAATATCTCTCAACAAAATGAGGCTCATTTAATGTACATTTAGCTGTAGCATTTGACTATTTATTAGTAAATGACTATTTACTAGGTTTGATAAAAGCATGAAAGTATTAAGCACGGGAAACCCAGGAAAAAACTGATTAATATTTATAAAGAAGAGTTTGCAACATAAAGAAGACAGGGGCAGAGGGCATGCTTGAAAAACAAACTGTTTAGATAAAAACTGAAGAAGCTAATTATCTGCATGCTTTTTTCTGCAGGAAATAAAACATTCTGATATTTGTTGTATAAACACTAACTTTTCTGGCTAATAAAATCGCTATATATATAGGTATTCCCTGTGGAAAACATGAACTTTAGAGAGACTTAAAGCAGGCAATGGAAGACACCTGGTGCATAATAAACAAAAGTTATAAGAGGAAAGGCATAAAAGAAAATGCAGAGCCAGGGGCAACAAGAAAATTTAAAAGAAAGGAAATATGTATGTATTGGGGGAAACTAGAGGAAAAATAAAATGGATATTTTTCAAGATTTCTTAAGTGACAAAACTGGTTGGAATTTTAATCTTAAAAGACAAGGAATTTAATGTAACAAAATAATTATAACTACAGAATGGGGAATAGAACGGATGTATATTAAACCAGTAATAAGGACAGATTTTAAAAGATCCACAGCGATCATGCATTGTAGTTTGAGCCAGAAAAAGAAGAAAAACGATCACCTTCAAGAATATAAAAGCAAAGCACTGTCGTTTTTAACGAGAGTTTAGGAGGAAGAAAAATTCACATGTGCTTTTGTGCAGAAGGCTGCTCTGTGGTTACTGTCTTGGAGAATCACGTCTGACACCTCATAACCCTGTCCTATATTGTAGCAGCTGGGAGCAGAGTCTGCCTTTGCATGTGATGTTAGTGGAAAATGCACAAGCATCTTACAATGACGTTTACTTTGGGGATACCCTTCATAATCTGTTTTCCCTCTGAGAACATTACTATTTAATTCCTTCTCTTGGTTTTCTTCCTAGTGCTTGGTTAACTAACTTCTTTATGTATTGTAATACTTCTGGCTTTAGCTAAACAAATCACCAACTTTGGATTTACTATTATTACTTATTAAAAAGGTGTCATAATACTAAAAACTCATGCTTATTGTAGTTCAACATTCATCTCATCATAAAATCTAAGTGATATTCAGAAAACTGGGCTATTAATCTCAGTCTCTAAGTTAACTTTAAAAAATAGAATTAAATAATTTTAAATTATTCTGTTTTTATTATTCACTTATTTTCTTACTCAGATTTTAGAAGGAAGCAATCTTATTTCTAATTCTTTTTTCCCCTCCATACTATCAAGCACTTAATATTTTGGATTTGTGAGTTTTGGACTGATGCTACTAAAATTACCATAAATAAAGTTTCTAAGATATGATATCAGTTTCCTGTATCTGAAAGTTCTGAAAGCCTTCTATGATGTATGGGTACATTCTTTCAGGAACTATGAAGTGAAATTGCTTACACTTTCACTTTCAATAGGTTAATACTATTTAATCCACCTTCCCTCTAGGCTACTTATAGAGTACACCTTGATGGCGCCAGCACTGTCCTGCTTATCTTAATTTGGGATTCTGAGTCTAAGCAATTTACATCTACCCAATAATATATGAAAATGTTTCTATTACTTTACTGCACAAGCTTGAGCTCCATGTGTGAAGCTATTTATCGAAACAGAAGAGGAAAAAAAAAATTATCTAAATAATTAGCACCAGTTAATTTTTATTAACTTTTAAAGCAAAATTTTAAATCCCATTTAAATGACCCTGAATATTTTTAAGACCATCTTTGAAGAAAGTTGATGTAATTAATAGTGTATCAGCATGTCCATTTTAATAGATGAGGAAATGATATAGAGAAGTTAAAAGCAGTTCCATCTGTGCCTGTACAGAGAAGCCTGTGGAAGGAAGCTTAGCTGTCAACAATCAGACAGAGGTTCTGGCTCAAGGTTTCTTAGAAGGTCAGAATCTCCACTGTTACCATTTCATTTTAACTAAAATTTCTGGGCCACAGCTTGTCCTGAATATGGAAGTGATACCTGATTTTTGAAAGACAAACTTGAACTAAACCAGGGGTTAAGAGAGTGAGGGATGCTCTTTTAGGATAAACAGCAGTGAAAGATCCAGCTGGCTTTTTTATAGAGTGGACTGTTCTATTGCATTGTATGGGAGAAGTAGTCCTAACCTTGAGGGGCATTTCGGGGTAAAGAGTCTCAGATAAAGTTTCCCTGGTGGTCTAGTGGTTAAGAATTTGCTTTGCGATGCAGGGGCCGTAGGTTCAATCCTTGGTCATGTTGACTAAAAAGTTGTACAACTTGAGAGTTGCAAATTAAGTTTTATTTGGGGCAAAATGAGGACTGCAGCCCAAGACGCAGCATCTCAGATAGCTCTCTGAGATGGCTCCAAAGAGGGAGTAGGGGAAGGTCAGTATATAGGATTTTGGTGAAGGGGGAGTTCAGTAGCATTAAGCATTCATTTACAAGAAATTGCTGCTAGGACCTGATGTCACCATGAAGGAATTTAGTGCTTTTCCAGATATGAGGAGATGCAAGGACTGGGATCATAAAATCTGTTCCTAAAACATCTGTCTAAAGAGCTGTCCCACGAGATTGCCTGGAGCACAGTGCCTTACTCCCTGGACTCTCCTGAACTCTCTCAGGGGGTGTTGAAGGTCAACAGTGCGGGGCTTAGTCTCTGATGGCCATGGCGAATGCCCTTGTTGTTCAGTCATTGGCAACCATCTTGGCATGAGCCAATTTGTAGTTGACAGTCAGGGAACTAAGATCCCACAAGCCGTGGAGCAACTAACTAGAGAGTCTGTGCATCATGAGGAAAGATCCCACAAGACACAATGAAGACCCTGTGTGCTACGACTGAGACCTGACTTAGCCAAGTAAATAAATAAAGGGACCATTGAAACCACGATCCCACAATGGCCTCCCAGCATCCCTCCTCACTCCCTGACTAGCTGCCATCAGCAGTGGACTGCGGCCAACTGGGGAAGGGCAGGACAGGATATGCTTAAGAGCAGAATCTGTAAAATCTGGAGACTGCACCTTTGAGAAGGGGCATTTCCTGTCTCCAATGGTGAATCCTTAAAGACTCTGCGAGGAAAGCAAGTCTTAACAATTCTGGAATGTGGGAGTCCAAATATACTTTCTAATAGTGGAGCTTAATGAAACACAGAGACAATTAGAAATGAGGAGACTAAAGATTTAGAAACAGAAGAATGGGTTCAGCATTTTGTTGCTGTTTGTTTTTTCCCTGTAGGCAAAGAGGCAGGGAGCCTGAAGGTCAGTGAAAGTCTGCAGCCACAAAGCAGGTCTTCGACCCGTACATTCAGAAAGAGTTTGGAGGAGAGAAGGGAAGAGGAAAGTGAACCAAGAGAGGAAGGGTGTGGAAAGGTAGACTGCCTGGAGAGAAAAGGTGTGTCCCTCCTGACTCAGCCTGGAAGTCAGGAATTCCAGTTTCCAGGACCTCACACTCTGCCGCAGTTTTAGGCCTCCCTGAAGCTTCCAGCCATGTGTCTCCTGGGCAATCTCTCGGCAGTTCTCTTTATAAATGCCAGTGGAGGGTGCAGTGCTGAAATGGATTAGAGGTTTACCCTCCAGGCTATTTTCTCACCCTCTAAAGAACTGGTAATTGAAGTGGAATAATAACATTTTAGCATTTTATACAGTTTTACAACTTGAAAAGACAAAATTCTTAACACTTGAAAATACATGGATTTCTCATTTTAGTTAATGATCTGAGTCTATTCTGTAATTGCAAATGAACCTTATAGAAACTTAATTTGGGGACATTACTGCACAAATATAATTAGTAGCTAGTAAACGCCAACATTTTTTTTTTTTTAATAATATCTTTAACCAAAATGGGGTAAGGGTTCAAACTGTGTATTTGGTACCAAAATTTTTCAGAAAAAATTTTTTTTGGGGGGGCAATTATACACAGCATTTTCTCCATTTCAAAAAAAGATCCCTCTTAAGATTCTCAGTTATAACAATTTATATTTATACAATGAATTACATCACTGTGATTTTTAAGTAGAGGTCACTTAAAACGTTGTGACAGGCAATGGTATGGACCTTACACTACCAGGCTGAGCTAACAGACCTTCAGAGAGCCAGAAAAGGCACTCCTGCACCCCACCTCAGGGCTGACACTACTCTGCCCACACAGAGGCTTCATATGGGAGGCAGGTACTGAATTGAATTTCAGACTCCATTCGCACCCCAGCCCATCCCCTGCCCCCACCAGGCACTTCTGTTTAGGGCATAACCTTGTTGACGATGATGGGACAACCTTGATTGCTAACCTCCAAATCTTGCCTTGTAAAATAAGTTTGCTTAAATTATTGAGCTCTTATATTTGGCAAATTGTCCAATTAGTTTTGCATTCAGGTGCCTCAGGTCTCCAGGAAATACTGTTATAAAACTGTAAGCTCCATACAGAACCAGATGGTAAACAGATCCTGTTTACCTTCATGTCCCCATCTAGAAGAGTATCACTCAGTGAATGCATGATAAATATTTATTGAGTGAATGAATGATAAACAAAAGAAGCATAGTATGAGTTTAAGTTGAAACATTCCTTAGTAGTCTAGTTAAAGCTCCGAGCCCTGCATTTCTACCATTGAAGACAGAATAATTCTAATCACATCATTGAATTGTTATGAAGATTTAAATGAGAATATTATAAGAAAGTATTTCCCAAACATTCAAACATGTTGTTGTTATAATGATTATTATTTAAAATGTCAATTAAAAAAAATCTCTTTACCAGTAAGCAGAATTTCTAGACCACGTGCATCTTAATTCATTATCTAACTTTACACAATCCATAGTAAAATAATATTTTTGTTGTTACATCTGGGTCCAGTCCCTGGTCAGTGAGACCCCCACAAGCCACACAGAGCAGTCAAAAGAAAGAAAAAAGAAAGGAAAAAAAAAATCCCACATATTTTACAGAATTAGTTTAATATTTGAAGCAATCCTGAGAGGTGGCTATTAGCCCATTTTACAGAAAAGTGAAGGTAAGGTAGAGTAGATCTTGCAATACCAGTCTCTTAACCACAGAAGCACCTGTTCAGCACAGAAGGGCCAGATACAAATATGCACGTCAATCCTGATAAGTCTTTAACAGACCTTATCACATCTCAAAAATGAGCACTGAATTCCCATGAACTTAGGGAACTCTTAATAGATTTAAAGAACCTACCTATAAGCACTTAAATAATTTCTCCTTACAGCAGATAAAACTAATCAACACTGATAATATTTGAAAACTTTAATAACTATGTATTGATCTGATTAAGACCTCCACCAACAACAGCAGTTTACACATATTTAAAGCACTGTCTCAGGCAATTCTGAGAAAATAATACAAAATAAATAGGGGGAAAGAAAACATCTATTTTTTGACACTGTATAAAGAAGTTTCAAACTCTGAAATCTGAAAACAGATTCACTGCTCTCTTTTCCCTTGGTCCACCTAGAAACATTTGTTCTGAATTGCCATCATGTACCAGTTTATTTACTCTTCAACACTATAAGCTTATTGAGAGTAGGAACTGTGTATTATTTATTTTTCCAACCCATCTCACACTTTCTTCAAATACTCAGGCCAGTTCCTGGTTATCTATGAATTAAGTTTGTGGTTCACCCAATGAAAAACTTCCATTAAAATATGCTCTTTTGTGGAGGGTGGGTGGGTGTCAGCTTTATTAATATAATTTCCATATGACAGGCTTCACTAATTTTAAATACACAATTCGTAGTTGTTAGTACATCACAGAACGGTGCAACCATTGTTGTCGCTGCTCAGTCACTCAGTTGTGTTCAACTCTTTGTGACCCCATGGACTGCAGCATGCTAGGCTTCCCTGTCCTTCACCATCTCCCAGAGTTTGCTCAAACTCATGTCCATTGAGTCGACGATGCCATCCAACCATCTCATCCTCTGTTGTCCCCTTCTCCTCTTGCCTTCAATCTTTCCCAGCATCAGGGTCTTGTCCAGTGAGTCCGTTCTTCAAATCAGGTGGCCAAAGTATTAGAGCTTCAGCTTCAGCATCAGTCCTTCCAATGAATATTCAGGACTGATCTCCTTTAGGATGGACTGGTTGGATCTCCTTGCAGTCCAAGGGACTCTCGAGAGTCCTCTCCAATACCACAGTTCAAAAGCATCAATTTTTCGGCGCTCAGCTTTCTTTATGGTCCTACTCTCACATCCATATGTGACTACTGAAAAAGCCACAGCTTTGACTAGATTGACTCCTGTTGGCAAAGTAATGTCTCTGCTTTTTAATGTGCTGTCTAGGTTGGTCATAGCTTTTCTTCCAAGGAGCAAGCATCTTTTAATTTCATGGCTGCAGTCACCATCTGCAGGGATTTTGGAGCCAAGAACATAGTCTGTCACTGTTTCCATTGTTTCACCATCTATCTGCTGTGAAGTGATGGGACTGGATGCCATGATCTTCATTTTTTGAATGTTGAGTTTTAAGCCAACTTTTGCATTCTCCTCTTTCACTGTCATCAAGAGGCTGTTTAGCTCCTCTTCACTTTCCGTAAGGGTGGTGTCATCTGCATATCTGAGGTTACTGACATTTCTCCTGGCAATCTTGATTCCAGCTTGTGCTTCATCCAGCCTTGTACTTTGCATGATATGCAACCATTACCACTTTCAATTTCAGAATGTTTTCATCACCCTAAAAAGAAATGCCAGGATATCACTCCACAGACCCTCATCCCCCAACCCTGGGTAAACACTAATCTATTTAAAAACAGTTACCTATCAGTGTTGCTATCTTGAGCGATGAGCCCATTCTGGACATTTATATGAACAAGTGGAATCATATAATAAATGCCAAAACTTCCTTTTGAGGTAAAAACCAAAAACACAGATGTAACATGTAACACTTTTTTGGGTCACTTTTGTCATTTTCATACTGTATCATTTCACAAAAGTTTTTCTACCTATTGTTCTTTTGAAAATGTATTTTTAAAGAGATTAAGATCTAGTCTTATTTTCAGGAACATCTAAGTAGTTGTGTTAAAAACACTGATCTAATTTAAATTCAAAACATGAAATAGTGTGTTATCACTTTTAAGTTATGGACATATAAAGTGCAGATTAATACTTAGGGTCTTCAGATTTAGCATTCCCTTTAATTCTTTTACTGTTGCATCGAGGTTTATTAACTCATTGTGATGTAGCAGGAGTATATGCAATGAAGGCAAATAGTGCAGGCCTGAAAAAATAAAAATATTTGTGTAAGATTTAAAACTTTTTTTTAAATGAAGGAAAATGTTTTGTACTACACCTCTTTGTATGTCATGATAATGGTATAGCAAGTACTTTAATACCTGGCTTGTAATTATCAGTTTAGAGATTGTTGCAGATACAAAATTAACTCAGAGTGAAACAGATTTCATTGGGAAAAAATATAACCAGTAAAAACATTTAAGATTATTTATGAAGTCATTATTTTTATTAATGCTCCCAAGCATTGTTAGAAAGTTTGCTTCCACAATATCTGGTTTGTGTCCAACAATGCAGTAGAACGGCAAAATTTTTATGTTAAAAAAAAAGATTCTTTAACATCTTGGATAAGACATATGATAATATTGAGCTAAAACCATAATCAAACAGCACCCCTTAAATGAAATATACATAAGAACATTAAAAATAACAGTTTCTATCATATACTTTCAACGGAAATGTTAAAACAGATTTTTCCATGCCAATGGCAATACCATGCGTGTGTATGTGCTAAAAGGCTTCAGTTATATCCAACTGTTTGTACTGTGGCTCTTACAGACTACGGTCCACCAGGCTTCTCTGTCCATGGGATTCTACAGGCAACAATACTGCAGTGGGTCGCCATGTCCTCCTCAGCAATACCATAGTTGAAAATTATTATTTAATTGAAAATCTATTCAATTACAAGAGAAAATTTAAGACATACCTTCTATATCAAATATTGCATTGTTGTTTAGATATAGTTCTGCCAGACAATAGTTTCTGGTTAGAAATGTTATTCCATGGAGCTGAAAATGAGAGAGAACAATATACTTTCTACAATAATCACACATAATTATATGCACATATATAAATTTAGTTAGGAGCTAACAGTTGCTGTTTTTATTAATTATCTGCAACTTCTTGCCTGGGCTACTGAATTGCCTTTGAAGGTACATGTGATAAAAAGAGTGGGTGGCCACAGGACTGGAAAGGGTCAGTTTTCATTCCAATCCCAAGGAAAGGCAATGCCAAAGAATGCTCAAACTACCACACAATTGCACTCATTTCACACGCTAGCAAAGTAATGCTCAAAATTCTCAAGCCAGGCTTCAGCAATACGTGAACCGTGAAATTCCAGATGGTCAAGTTGGATTTAGAAAGGGCAGAGGAACCAAAGATCAAATTGCCAGCATCTGTTGGATCATCGAAAAAGCAAGAGAATTCCAGAAAAACATTTACTTCTGCTTTATTGACTATGCCAAAGCCTTTGGCTGTGTATATCACAACAAACTGTGGAAAATTCTTCAAGAGATGGGAATACCAGACCACCTGACCTGCCTCCTGAGAAATCTGTATGCAGGTCAAGAAGCAACAGTTAGAACTGGACATGGAACAACAGACTGGTTTCAAATTGGGAAAGGAGTACATCAAGGCTATATATTGTCACCCTGCTTATTTAACTTATATGCAGAGTACATCATGAGAAATGCTGGACTGGATGAAACACCAGCTGGAATCAAGATTGCAGGGAGAAATATCAATAGCCTCAGATATGCAGATGACACCACCCTCTGGCAGAAAGCAAAGAAGAACTAAAGAGCCTCTTGATGAAAGTGAAAGAGGAGAATGAAAAAGTTGGCTTAAAACTCAACATTCAGTAAACTAAGATCATGGCATCTGGTCCTCAGTTCATGGCAAATAGATGGGGAGACAATGGAAACAGTATGAGACTTTATTTTTGGGGGCTCCAAAATCACTGCAGATGGTGACTATAGCCATGAAATGAAAAGACACTTGCTCTTTAGAAGAAAAGCTATGATTAACCTAGATGGCATATTAAAAAACAGACATTACTTGGCCAACAAAGGTCTGTCTAGTCAAAGCTATGGTTTTTCCAGTAGTCATGTATGGATGTGAGAATTGGACTATAAAGAAAGCTGAGTGCCGAAGAGTTGATGCTTTTGAATCTTGAGACTCTTGAGAGCCCCTTGGATGGCAAGGAGAGCCAAACAGTCCATTCTGAAGAAAATCAGTCCTGAATATTCATTGGAAGGACTGATGTTGAAGCTGAAACTCCAATACTTTGGCCACCTGATGGGAAGAACTGACTTCTTGGAAAAGACCCTGATGCTGGGAAAGATTGAAGGTGGGAGGGGAAGGGGATGACAGAGGATGAGATGGTTGGATGGCATCACCGATGCAATGGACATGAGTTTGAGCAAGCTCTGGAAGTTGGTGATGGATAGCGAAGCCTAGCGTGCTGCAGTCCATGGGGTTGCGAAGAGTCAGACACAACTGAGTGACTGAACTGAACTAGCTGACTTAATACAAACTTTTCTTATCACACCTCCCCTAAACTGTGTGTTTTTCAAAGCTTCTGGAATCTGGTCCAGCACTTTTGCTTAGACAACATTTCCTACAGTTCTGCTCCATGTCATAGCACTGGATTTGGCTCTATATATCCACTAATTCACCACCACATATTATTAAGTGGCTATTATGTGCCAAGGGCTCCCTCCTCAGATAATGCTAAGCCATTTCTGCATCTGTGTATGAGTCATGATTTCTCTTTGCCTGACTGGCTTTTCTTCCTGGTACATTTCTGATTATTCTCAAGGATCTGCCCTAGGCTGGCAATGCCTCTCCCACCATGCCTGAGTAGGCTGCCACAGCATGTTTCCACTGCTCCAGAGATTCATTGAGACCATTCTTTGATCTCTTTGCATCTCACTGCTGTCTTCTTGCTTTGTTTTGACCCACATTTTGTTTCTCTAAACTTCCACCTGCTCCAGGACTTTGAGTCAGATTTCCTGAGAGATGGTTTAATTCAGTAGTTAAATGCTCTATGTGCCACCCACCTGCCCTTCTGCTGAGGTATACCTTCCCCCTCTCACCACTGTTCCCCCTCCCCCCCTCCCAGAAGGCCTAATTTGAATTCTCTTTCTTTATGCCCCAGTCTATGAGCCATCTCCTCTTCTCGGGCTCACTGTCCTTCGTGTCAACAGATCTCAGTTGAGCCAAGGACTCTGTCATCTGAATACATTCAGGAGACCAGACCCAGGGCTAACAGCTCAACTGACCACCATTTCCAAGGAGCGCATAAGGTACAGCACAATCCCCTTACTTTACATCTCATCTTTCTTTAATAAGTCCTTTCCTGACAACTCCTAGTCCCATGAACCTTCCTTTTCTTGACCACATCCAACACTTTCTTAGACTTGTGCCATTACTTGATCACTGGTTTTGTGTCTTCCTTAAGGAAAGGAACCATGTTTCTTCAGTCTCTGATCCTTCCCATCTCTCCATTCTCTTAACTACATGGTGAAGCGGGATCTTACTTTCAAGATTAGATTAGAAATTTGGTGTGCTATATGAATTGGAAATAGTCAAAAGCACTCTTGATAATTCCCCTAATGAACCATTACGGTACATAATAGGAGTATTTAACTCTGATCTGAATTCAGAAATGCTTGTTACCTTGCAAAGAGAATCCCACTACTTTAAAAAAAAACAATACTGACTTTATAACCCTGATAAAAGTTGACAGATTTGTTTGAGTTATCAGGATGAGATGTGGTAGAGTCACAGGGTGGGGCAGGTAAGTTCTAAAAGCAGTGCTTAAGTTAAATGTGAACAACGCTCACTTTACAGCTTAATACAGGATATAGCAGGGACAAGAATCTCATGAAATAGTTTTGACCAAGTGCTTACTGGTTTATATATACAGATATACGTGCCCATGACTGTAAATTAGTTTTATATGTTTATTAAAATCTACCGCAGGAAATACTGTCATCAGTTAAATAAAACTGTTTTAACTTTTGATGGAATGATTCAGGTAGACAGATGCCAACTTATCTGACTTAGTGAGGATTTATTAGAAATTTTACTCATGCCCTCTCATAACTCAGAAAAGCTATTTTAGATTTATATTCAAAGTTTGAAAATGGGTTTCTTAGTGAATTTAATTTTTTCTTATTTTTGCAACAGTCCCAAATTATGACTCTATAAAATGCACATGTGCCACTCAACCTCATTGTCTCTCAGCCTTACCTGTACCTAATTATATCAGCACTTGGGAAGGAGAAACACTAGTAATTTCACTTCAGCTTTTTGAGAGGAGCCAAGTTTGTGCCAAGTAGGAGAGACCATTGACACAGTGAGGGGTGGGTCCCAGTTGCTTCCTATCCCTTTCACTCTTCCTGCTAACCTCCTGACAGCCACTCATTACCTTTTTGTCCTTCCCCTCACCAATCCCTAATCTAATGATAGCCGCACTTAACATCAGTATAGAAAGAGAACACCAGGGCAAATCATGACTTTTTCTTCTCTTTTTTCCTCCCAGTTGCCTGCCCAACATTGACAGAACATTACTAGTTAGTTGAGGTTTTCATTTCTCTTGCATTATGCATTAACACAAGAATACTAATAAACTCAAACCATTTCATTTTGATTATAGAATAATAATTTTCTCGAGAGTGTTAACATCTTTGGACCATGATTATTGGAATTTTAAGATTGCACCACTTGTTGGGATGAAATGATTTGGGGGAAATGGAGTGAAAAGAGATAAAGCCAGATCATGAGAACCTTGGAGAACTATTAAAAGATTTTGTACAGAGAAGTTTTATTGACCAGTTTTATTTTGGAAAGACAATGGCAGGAAAGAGTACTGTTTAGAAGAGACAGTAATGGAAATAGATTAACAAAAATGGTGTTATGCTAATTCAAAAGAATATATGGATCCCAGAGTACAGTAATGACAGTGGAAGAAGATCAAAGTAGAGAAAATTGAGAGATAGTTCCAAGGTAAAATTCACAGGACCTTATAGACATTGCAGTGTACCAAGTTGCTGAAGTTAAGATCCAGGAATGGGAGTTGAAAGACTTGCTGATTATTTTGACACTCAAACTATTCTTAAAGTAATACATTATTACAATTTTCCACTTAGAAAAATCACACTACTAATTTTAAGGATTGCCATAAAATTTATATTAGCATGTGACATTTCACAAATTATATCAAAACCTCAGATATGCAGATGATACCACTCTAATGGCAGAAGGCAAAGAGGAGCTAAAGAGTCTCTTGATGAGAGTGAAAAAAGGGAGTGAAAAAGCTGGCTTAAAACTCATCATTCAAAAAACAATGATCATGGGATCCAGTCCCATCATGGCAAATAAATGGGGGAAAAGTAGAAACAATGACAGTTTTTGGGTTCCAAAATTACTGTGGATAGTGACTGCAGCCATGAAATTAAAAGACGCTTACTTCTTGGAAGAAAAGATATGATAAACCTAGACAGCATATTCAAAAGCAGAGACATCACTTTGCCGACAAAAGCCCACATGGTCATAGTTTTTCCAGTAGTCATGTAAAGATGTGACAGATGGACCATGAAGAAGGCTGAGCACTGGAGAAGACTCTTGAGAGTCTCTTGGACAGCAAGGAGATCCAACCAGTCAATCCTAAAGGAAGTCAGCCCTGAATATTCACTGGAAAGACAGATACTGAAGCTCCAATACTTTGGCCATCTGATGTGAAGAGCCAACTCATTGGAAAAGACTCTGATGCTGGGAAAGATTAAGGGCAAGAGGAGAAGGGAGAGACAGAGGCTGAGATGGTTAGATGGCATCACTCATCATGATTAAGTGGACATAAGTTTGAGCAAACTCCAGGAGATAGTGAAGGACAGGGAAGCCTGGCATACTGCAGTCCATGGAGTGGTGAAGAGTCAGGTAAGACTTAGTGACTAAACAAGACCAACATATCTTAGCTCAGGGTTTGGCACATAGCAAGTGGTCAATAAACAATAGCTGCTATTATTTACTCCCTAACCATTATTACTTTTGATAGAGTGGAGAGGACTTACATTTAAGATAAAGCTCTTATGGGTAACCACTGATGGACTAGTGGGGAAATTTTTATGCCAGCATGAGTTTAAAATTAAGGAGGCATGCTTTTAGGGAAGGACTTCTCAACCT